TTCGTAAGACGTCTGTAGGTACAAAATTAATCATTAGTTTCAAGCCATGCTAGAGAGATCTATTTTATTTATATATTACTAGATAATTTTAGTACCTATAGATGACTTAGCTTTGCTCTCGCCATGCTAACTAGTCGAGTTCCTCATCAAACAGTTACGTGAGTAGGCCGAAAACATAATAATTAATTAAGATAAACATGACGACAAAAATGTAATTTAGGTTACCGACCAATTTACAATAACATTAATTGCCTATGTATTGTTGCGTATTTTTAATCTTATCTCTTTTAACGTCCCAATTACAACAATGAAGTATCTACTGAATTAAAAAAGATGAATTATTCATAAGTTATTTAACTTCGTTTTCCATTTTGAGGATCTGTTATAACCCTAATAATAATGCTTATTACACACCATACCACCATGTGTGTGGAAGAGCCATGCTTCGGCACGAATGGGCCGGCTCGACCCGAATGATACCATGGCCTCACAGAAAACCGACGTGAAACAACGCTTGCCTTTCGTTTCGTCGTGTGCGTGTGCTTACCGGAGGTCCCCCCAACCCTGAATCCCAAGAGTCCTCAAATTCGTAATCCCTTAAAGGCCGGTAAAACACTTGTAACGCCTGTGGAATTTCAAGTGTCTATGGGCGTCTGGTCATTTACCAGCTAATGACATAAAAAAATAACATCCATACCTATTTCATTAGGCAAGAGTCTACTTTTTTATAGCCTTGGGTACCCTAGTAAATACTACTACTGCCTTATTTTTCAGACGAACTCACCTTTTCATTACTTTTATACTAACTAAACTCTGCGGAAGACTTTTTAATTAACTAATTATTGTCTAGTCTTATCCAACTTGAAATGTCGGATAAGGATAAGAATAACCTTCTCCTAACTAAATTTCAATTTCGAAGATTAATTTCAATTACAGAGGTCTATTTTAAGCAGAAAAGAAAATCCTAGAGTGAGGCAACGTTTACAAAAAAAATTAAAAATGACAACTGAAGGTTTTATTTTTGAATTTAACAAGAAAATTAAAAAATAATAATCCAGATGTTTTTACATATCCCCGGTGGTACTGTTTGATAGCAGACCTTGCCTTACTTGTGCTCCTAGATCTGGATGTATACGAGTATATGCATCCACAGCCCGGTCATGCAAAAATTTTGCAGCAGGTTTCAAACTTTCTACGATATTCTGCACTAACCTCTTCCTCTCTGAAGGTCTAATTTCATTGAGATACCAGTCTCGAGCTTGATCGTAATTATTTGCCGCCTCTTCCTGTATCTTAATCAAATCCATTTTATACTTACTTTTATAAGGAACGGGTCCATTGAATGAGTTAGGATAGTAATTTGGTGTGTCTTTTTCATTGTCATTCACAGGAGGCATACCATCACGGTTGTATGGAAATGCTCTGTGCCGCATTGGACAGTTTACAGGTATTTTTAAGAAATTCCCACCCAAACGGTGGTATTGAGCGTCTCTATATGCCAAACGGCGAGATTCATATATCTTGTCTGGTCCCCCAAGAATACCATCAACCAAATTCGCAGGACAAAACGCCAACTGCTCAACTTCTGCAAAGAAATTAACAGGGTTCCTGTTCAAAACCAAACGGCCCAATGGACGCAACGGATACTTGTCTAGCGGCAGTATTTTTGTTACGTCGAAGACATCGAAGGTTGCATTTTTAACGTCACTCTCAGTCAAGACTTGAATACTCGCCGTCCAGCTGGGGAAGTTTCCTTTTGCAATGGCATTATATAAATCTCTCGTTGCGTAATCTGGATCAGAGCCAGCAATCCTTCTCGCTTCCTCAGTCCTAAGATTTTTAATACCTGCATCTGGTTGGAAGTGGAACCTAATGAAGTGATTTTCCCCGTGCTTATTTACAACTTGGTACGTATGAATAGCAAACCCAGGCATATGTCGGTAGCCATCAGGGATTCCTCGGTCGCCAAATATTATCAAATAAATAAACAGAAGCTCTGGTAACTGCGTCAGAAAGTCCCAAAGGGAATTGTTATCAAATAAATTTGTTGACGGGTTCCTTCTAAATGAGCGCACTAGTGAAGAAAACTGGACGGGGTCTTTATACATGAACATAGGGGTGTTAAAGCCAGCTATGTCAAAGTTACCATCTTCTGTATAAAATTTAATGGAAAACCCACGAATATCTCTGGATGTGTCAATACTACCTCTCTGAGTAGCCGATGTAGACAATCTTACAGCAACAGGAGTTCTCTTGCCAACTTTACTGAATAATTTCGCTCTGCATATATCAGTTACATCGTCCGTAACTTCGAAATAACCGAATGCACCGCTAGCCTTTGCGTGGACAAGACGTTCGGGGATTCTTTCTCTGACGATGTGTGTGACGGAGTCCATAAAAAACTCGTTGTTAAACAAATTCTTGTTTAAAGTTGATGTGTCTTCTTCTTCGACGGGTGCTCCTGCAGCTGTAGTCATAGTAGCAATAGGGCCCTAGAACAACATAACAGGATTTTTATTGAAAAATACAAAGTATAAAAATAAATAGTTTTCACAACACAACACAAGGCATTATAATATAACAGTCTAATAACAAAATGGTAGGTTTCAGAGTTGTCTAAAGTTAACGAAAACAATTGAATTTCAAAATATTCGGACTTTGTCGCTTATAACGTCGCTATCCAAATTATCGTCATCATATTATCAGTTTAAAATGGTTCAAACAGTGTTCTAGTAAAATAGGGATTATAAGATCGCTCACCTTTGTCCTTTTTTTGAACTCAACGATTTGGTTGTCCGCTGCATCGCCTTGCACCCCGGCTACCATTACTATCACCAAAAGAAATAATTGTATCATGTTCATTATTTTCTGAATGAAGTTTTTCGTGATAGAATTGTACCATCACCGTTTTTATGTCGTGAATAAATTCTACTTTATTTTTAATTTTATATTAGTCTTGCCTTCTCAGTAAATAGATAATAAGTGCTAGTTTTTAAAAGAGTAATTAGTAACTAACTATAATGTTTTGTTATCTTTTCTTCGTGTAATGAAATTCAGTGGGATGTTATAAACAATTTTTGTGACTTATCATTAACATATGTATTTAGATTTGCATAATTACAATTAAATGAGAATTATTGGTGTCTAATTCAAGGCCCAATTAACATCAATGCATGATGTCTTTTATGTTATTATTAAAGTAAGTTTACTAAACAATTCCAATTTGGGTCACGTGCCCTGTTGATTGCTTTTTTAAACTGTACCCATACATCATTTTTTCTGTAGTCTTTAAGCTCTGACTTTAGTTCTTCGTCATCACCATCATCAGCTCGTTCCTGTCCACTACCTTTCATAAACCTCTTAAACAGATCTTTAATCTCCAGTTCTTTATACCTACTGGGATCTAGCAATATTTTTTTCCCGAGCGTACGGTGCATCGTGTTCCGCTCGCGCCTCAAAGAGTCATCAGACCACCACAGATGGGGCCCAATAGGGCCGATGCCGATTCGGAGCCGCGGAGAACTTAACGGGTTACCGGGGCCCCGGCTCGACGTGCAGGAGTAGAAACGGGATGGTTTTTAGTCAGTAAGAGTCTGACACTCCCTCCGTATAAATAAATACTTGGATATACAGGTTGATATCTGCCAAGATCTTTGCAAAGAATGTGCCTGTATTCTTGTAGTATTTCATGGCGTAATAAATTATTTTCTTTCTTTCCTTCTATATTGCTATCTACCCATGATCCTTTTATTCTTTCTTAAAATCAGTAGGAGTAAAACAGGAGAAAAAATATTTTTGTGTATAAATAAATAGTATAATTGTTACTTAATAAATATCTAACAACTACCTATAGGCATGCTAGGAATCGCCTAACATAGAAAACTAGCAATCTCGTGCCTGATCTGCTGCTATCATATCGTATTGGATCACGAGAGTAAGAGAATGGATTGAAAACTTATATTAGTATGTTAATTAGTAGTAGTAGTTAGTATGCTAATTTTTTTACGGAATAAACCGGTAAACGAGCAGACGGATCACCTGATTGTAAGCAATCGGCGCACACGAAACACCAAAGGCGTTACAAGTTCGTTACTGGCCTTTTAGGGATTAGGAATAGGAATTTGCGGATTATTGGGGGTTCAGGGATCGGGAAGATAGGGGATTGGCAATTAACCTTACTCGCACGACGAAATGAACGCAAGCGTTGTTTCACGACGGAACTATTTATTAGTTTATGTTTATCAATGTTTTGAACCGAGTCCTTCAAGACTCAATCTAACGCAATACAAAGACAAATTACTCAAGACCGTTAGAGAAGAAGACTTTCATAAATGGACGGCAATAAGCTCATAGTCGTTGATATTAATATTCTTAACATAACATAACATCACGCCTTTTATTCCCGAAGGGGTAGGCAGAGGTGCACATTATACCACTGTACAATGTAACACACACAATTCACTATGTTTTCACATTATTTATGTTATGAGTCCCATGTAATAAAGGGTGAGCCTATTGCCATATACCGGGCATAATTCCAGACTCCATGCTACTACTGAGATTTTTTTAAAAACCCAATAATACTTTGCTCGACTCGGGAATCGAACCCGAGACCCCTTGCCCGGCAGTCGGACTTGCGATCACTCGACCAACGAGGCTGTCATATTCATATTCTTCTGCAGTATTTTATTTTTTCCTGAAGGTAATTATTGTAGTTTATCTACATTAAAGTCAATAAAGGTACACACAATGAAATGACCTCCATCAAAATAAAGTCTAGCTGCTTTAAATACTTTTGTAACTTTACATTTCTTTTATCAATACCTTATCAAAAGTTCAATATGCTTAAATTGGGGTAAAAGAAACTAATAAATCAATAAAATTTATTAATTTTTGTGGAACAGTCATTAAGTAAAAGCTGTGTTATAATAATATAAGATAATAAAAGACATTACAGTAGTATTCAATTCAATATATTATATTGTTTGTTACACATTAATTTAATTATCACCACATTGACAGTTCACTGTCGTGTTACGAAGAGCTTGCTTCACCCTCGCACTAAGGTCGGGGTGTATACGCTTGAATATCTTTATAGCGCGTTCTTGCAAAAATTTCGTTGCGTTTTCCAAACTATACACTATGTTCTCCACTAGTCTCTTCTTCTCTTCAGCATCTAATTCGTTCACGTATAATTCACGAGACTGATCGTAGTTATTCGCTTTATCCTGATATATCTCTATTACCTCACCGACATTGTTGTCCACATACGGAACAGGTCCATTGAAAGAATTGGGATAGTAATTAGGTATGTCTCCTAAATTACCATTTAGAGGAGGCACACCATCACGATTGTACGGGTATGCTCTATGGCGCAAGGGACAGTTTACGGGTATTCCCAAAAAGTTACCTCCCAAGCGGTAATACTGAGCATCTCGATAGGCCAAACGTCGCGCTTCAAACACTTTATCTGGTCCTCCCAAAATGCCATCAACTAAGTTCGCAGGATTAAAAGCCAACTGCTCAATTTCAGCAAAATAATTAACAGGATTACTGTTCAAAACGAAGCGACCAAGGGGTTTTAAAGGATATTTGTCCTGAGGCAATACTTTTGTAACGTCAAACACATCGAAGCTTGCATTTTTAATATCACTCTCAGTTAATACCTGAATGCTTGCCGTCCAGCTGGGGAAGTTTCCAGTTCCGATGGCATTGTATAAATCTCTTGTTGAATAGTCTGTATCAAAACCTGCTAACCGCCTTGCTTCCTCTGAAAATATGTTTTTGATGCCCGCATCTGGTAGGAAGTGAAACCTGATGAAATGATTCTCGCTACGATTATTAACAACTTGATAAGTGTGGATACCAAATCCAGGCATATGTCGATAACCATCTGGGATTCCACGATCACTGAAATATAGTAAAAATAAGTTGAAACTTTCTGGGTTTGTGGTTAGGTAGTCCCACAACATGTTGGGATCGTGTAAGTCGGTCGCTGGGTTTCGTTTCTGTGATCGTACGAAAGTAGGGAAAAGTATGGGATCTTTGAAGGCGAACATGGGTGTATTGAAGCCAATAATGTCGAAGTTTCCGTCTTCAGTGTAAAATTTGAGGGCGAATCCTCGGATGTCTCTTTGTGTGTCACTGCCACCATGTTCGGAGACCACTAGGGAAAATCTTGCAACTATAGGCGTCTTCTCACCCATTTTGAATAACTTCGCCCTGCATATATCAGATATATCGTGGGTTACTTCGAAATAACCGAATGCCCCTGCACCCTTCGCGTGAACTAGTCGTTCTGGTATTCTTTCCCTGGCCACGTGTGTCAAACTGTCCATTAGAAACTCATTAAATAACAAACGTTTGTTCAATGTAATTGTGGTTTGGTTTTCAATCGGTGCACCTGCAGCAGTAGTCATGATGGCTATAGGTCCCTGAAATATAGGAAAAATATTTAAATTAGTAACTCAGAAGTTACATGTCTTGTTAAAGAAGAGGAAGCTTTTGTTCAGCAATGGAGGTCTAACGGCTGAGGAGTCTCCGGTGACGATCTGATAAGAATAATTTAGATAATTATCTCAAACTAGTTCTACGGTACCGCCCTAAACAAAATACGTTGGCTCCAAAGTTGGAGAGGACGGGGGCTGCGTTCAAACGCATCCTCCCCAACCTCGGGGGGCCAAACGCCTCCTGCCGGAGGTTATACGCCGGGGTCGTGCGGTCCATGGCCCTCTACGGCGCCCCTGTTTGGGCGCCAAACTTGTTGCGGCGTCCTGCTCGGACGCTGCTCAAGTCACAGAGGGTCATGGCGATCCGAATGATCCGCGGATACCGCACGATCGCTGGGGAGTCGGCAAACCTCCTTGCCGGATTACCGCCGTGGGATCTGGAGGCGAAGGTGCTCGCGCGCGTGTATAACATGCGCGCGGAGGCACGTCGCCGGGGCGAAACTCCGCTGCCGCGCCAGATAAGTGCGTGGCGGGATGAGCTCCGGCGCGATCTCATGGCGGAATGGCAGCAACGACTGTCGCAACCGAGGGCTGGGCTCGCTGCCATTGCAGCGGTAAGTCCCCTCTTTGAGGAGTGGCTTGAGAGACGCTACGGCGTCCTCACCTACCGCCTGACGCAGGTCCTCACCGGACACGGAAGTTTCGGGAGGTACCTGTGTCTGATGGGGCGGGAGGAAACGCCCGGGTGTCATCACTGCGAGGACCGCCCTGAGGACACGGTGGAACACACCGTAGCGGAATGCCCTGCGTGGGCTGAGCACCGCCGTGCCCTCAGGGAAGTGATCGGCGATGGCGACCTCTCGCGTCCGGGCCTAGTGCAGGCCATGATGCGGAGCGAGGGGGACTGGGATGCCGTCTCCTCCTTTTGCGAAGCAGTCATGCTAGCTAAGGAGGAGGCGGGACGCGTGAGGCAGCGAAGCGCTGCCTCCTCGCAACCCAGCCATCGCGAAGGACACACCGGGCGTCGGGGATCGCGGGACGATCTCCGGCCACCGTAAGCGCGGGCCTGCGGACGGCGAGCATGGGTGGCTCCCCGTCCGACCAGAAACAGACCCGAGCGTACGGCGCGTCGCGTTCCGCGCGCGCCTCAAAGAGCCATCAGACCACCACAGATGGGGCCCAATAGGGCCGATGCCGATTCGGAGTCGCGGAGAACCTAACGGGTAACCGGGGCTCCGGCTCGACGTGCAGGAGAAGGAACGGGGTGGTTTTTAGTCAGTAAGAGTCTGACACTCCCTTCCGCCTCACCCAGGCGGGAGCAGTCATTCGACGATTTTCCCCCCTAAAAAAAAAAAAAAAAAAAAACAAAATACGTTCTTTTTAATATTAGATTTCTTTTTCTCCATGGACTCTTGTCCGTGCCCTAGTCATTCAATTATCTACATTAAAAAAAAACAAAATACTTAACTATTACAATTATATTAATTAGATTTGAAATATAAATAAAAACATAAGTATAAGTACCAGTGTTTCACATTTAAACTGTAACTTAATAATTAAGAACTTACCTCAGTTCTATTTTTGAATAAAACAAGTTGATCTACAGCTGGGTTATCGTCTTCGTCCGCAGCTCGGGTCGCCATTATGGCCATAAACAATGGCAGTATTTTTAAAAACATTTCGTTTTTTTTTTAATTCGTTCGTTTGTTCGATTTTATTTACATACCAATGTTATAAAATATTTATTATTTAGCAGCGAAAAAAATAATAAAAAATGTATAAACACGACAATTTGGAGAATAGTATCGGTGAAAAGTAAATAGTTTTATTTTAAGTGTAATTTAAGTATCACCTACTTAGGCTAGATTGTGTCACATTCTGAATACCTAATTAGTTATTTAAATTTATGTAATCCTGATGGAATTTAATTTATGTAATTCAGTTACTTTATGATAATATAATTCTTAATACCCTTATTTATTTCATTATTTGCATGTTTATAAATATACGGTCTGTAAAACACGAGAATTGTTGAAAAGATAATTAAATATTGTACTTAGCTTTTTCTAAGAAAAGCTATCGGTCCACGTGGTACCTATTCAAAAATATTAAATTTCTAAAGTGTACTACAAAGTAATGACATAGTATATACACTTCCGGACACTTGAATCGAGCCACATTACATTCCCGGGCCTAAACGCCCATTACACAAAATATATAGGAACCATGTTTTAGCTGTTATGGTTGATTTTAGCAAAGCGTTTGATACATTAAATTTTGAAAAACTGTACCAAAAAATGGAACAAAATGGTATACAGGGACCAATGTTGGAATTGCTTAAAAATTATCATACAAATAGATACAATGCTGTAAGTATAGCCGGGGAGCAGAGCGACCAAATACGAACACAATATGGCACGGCCCAAGGATCGGTACTAGGACCGACAGAATATCTATTGTACGTAAATGATATGTGTAATGTATTCCGGCATGTCTCGGTGTACCAATTTGCCGATGATACGTGCTTGATCTCTGCTCATAAAGACATTATCAAGGCGCAAAGTATGATGCAGGACGATTTTGATACATTGTGCAAATGGGCTCATGATCTAGGATTATCAATTAATTATAGTAAAACTAAATTAATATATATACACTCGCCTTACAAAAAAGCAGCTTCATTGCCGATGATCGTCGCCCATGAGCACAGTTGTATGCATATAAACAATAATGCTTGTAAGTGTGGGAAGCTTGAAATCGTGAAAGAACACACCTACCTTGGACTAATAATAGATCATAAGTTTAACTGGAGATCACATGTTAACCTAATATGTAACAAGTTAAGAGCAATTTTGTCAAAACTATGTGTGCTCAAACATAAAGTGCCATATAGAACACTGAGACTTATGTATATGTCTCTAGCTGATTCGGTCATAAGTTATGGCTTAACTAGCTATGGAAGAACGTATAAAACATATCTAAATGATATATATAATTTGCAAATTAGAATTTTAAAAACAATTGTTCCTCTAAAAGTTAAATTCAAGAACAAAGATAACTATCACAACTTGTTTCATTATTGCAAGGTTTTGAGTATATTTGATAAGAGAGATTTAGCAATTGTAACTCAGTACAGTAGTGACATGTGTAAATTGAATACAACAAAAAGATTAAACACATTACGTAAACTAGACTATCTCCCTACCTTTGAAATACCAAAATGTCATAACGATTATGGTGAGAGAGTATGGAATGTCAGTCTTGCCCGAATACTAAACAAGTTGCCAAAACACATAATTTGTAAACTGGAAAACAAAAATAAAAGGCAGACCTATAACATATTCAAGCGACATTTAATGAATTGTAATGAAATAGCAACTCCTTAACTGTACAATCTTTTCTATTTAAGTTTAAGATTAAGTTAAGATTTGTATAAAACTGTATTTTATGAGAAATAAACAGCTTTTATTATTATTATTTACATATATTTATTTAAAATTCTCTATAAATTATATTTCTAAATACTACTTACAAAATTAAAAAAATAATATTTAAAAATATAAAAAATAGGACCCGACCAGTAGCGGGAGCATGGTCCAAGCTACCGGTGGTTAGGGCTCCAGAGACAGAAACCTCCTCACGATACGTGCCGTTTCTAGGAGAACTGCCTTCTGTATCAGGCCCTTGATCCATCCACCTAACGCCAGCCTCCTGAGATGGATGTCGAGGCTTTTAGGGATTAACCCATTGGCCGACACGACTATCGGCACAATGATAGCCGAATCCACACTCCACATGTCGACAACCTCGTGAGCTAAGTCTAGATATTTTATTTGTTTATCTTTCTCAGCTTTCACGAGGTTCTCGTCATGGGGAATGGTGACATCGATTATCATCGTGCGGCGTACTTGACGGTCTATCACTACTATGTCAGGTTTATTGGCTACAATAGTCCTGTCAGTAATGATAGACCGGTCCCAGTACAACGTGATATGGTCATTTTCCAGAACTGGGTCGGGCACATACTTGTAGTACGGTACCTCAGACTCAACAAGTCGATAGTGCAAAGCAAGTTGCTGATGGATAATCTTGGCTACTTGATTATGCCTATGCAAATATTCACTGTTAGCCAAACGACCACAACCAGAAATAATATGTCTAATGGATTCACCAGGACTATGACATGCCCGACATATGTCAACCGTCCCATCCTTAATTATATATTTCCGGTAGTTATTCGTAAGGATAACTTCGTCCATAATTGCACAGACAAATCCTTCAGTTTCTCCAAAGAGATTACTGAATCGTAGCCAAGATACGGACGCTAGAAAATCTACACTGGGCCCATGAAGGGCCCGGAAGAAGCGTCCGTGGAGCTCCTTGCTATGCCATACCTCCTTGCGATCATTGACGCTCAGTACCACAGGTTTGCGCCAGTTCTCTTTTGCCAAGGATAGCGGAGTGAATCCATTGTCCACCGCTGCTACTTCTCGATGCATACCCTCGTTGACTTTCAGGAAATATTCCCTGAGGCTGCACACCTCACGGTTGTGAAGGGTCTTAGCATTTAATAAGCCTCGACCACCACACTTCCGCGGGATGTACAACCTCATGACCGACGAACGAGGGTGATGCATGCGATTTGCAGTCAGCAGGGTCCGGACTCGTCTATCCAGGGTGTCAAGTTCAGTCTGTGTCCACTTGAGTATACCAAAAGAATACATTAGGACTGGCATGACCCAACCGTTAAAGGCTCGCACCTTGTTTCCGCCTGATAAGGAACTTTTTAGTACCTTATTCAGGCGGCCAAAGAAGCGCTCCTGTAGCGATTGCTTCATGTCCGGTCCATTAATGCCTAATCCTTCTGACATACCCAGGTACTTGTATGTATCGTTTGCGGAGAGTGATCTCAGTTTTGTGAAATCTGAGAGTTCTAGTCCCTCAGATTCCACAATCCCTCCTCGTTTTACATGCATGACCGCACACTTGTCTACTCCAAACTCCATTCTGATGGAACTACTAAATTTTTCAGTTATATTCAGTAGTTCCATCAATTGTTTCTTGTTTGGAGCAAACAACTTGAGGTCAATAATAACAACTTATTATTATTATTATTAATATGCAATATAACAAAAAAGTTTTTATGCATTTTTAATGCTGGCATATTTCATCGTCTTTCCCGTATGTATTCTTCCAAATTTGAATTTAAGATTTTAAAATAAAGAACAAAAGCCGAGCTTGGTCACTGATTTGAAAAAAATAATGGCTGTAGAAAGTTACTTTTGAAGCAATTTAATTTCGATTTTGTTTGAATTTTCGCTATTTTAACCAAAGTTTAGTTTTTTAATTCCAACTAGTCTAATTATAACTTCAGGTTGCGTCCACATATGGCGCAAGTGCAAGCAAGAGCCGCCCGCGAGCTGTGAGCGTGCAGTCACGGCAATGAATTGGTGCTCAACTCATACAAGGGTCGTATAAATAAAATTTTAAATGCACTTGCAACTCGCGAGGCACCCTCGAGCTGCGCATTGGAGGAGCATTCGCCAGATGTGGACACACCCCAAGATTCTATTCGTATTTGCATCACTATCATCAACAGCCACAGTTTCTACAGCTGACCAAAGGCCACTTCTCTTGCATTGAGAAGGTTTGAGGATTAGTCACCACGCTCGCTCAATGCGGGTTTCTTTCACCGTTTGTCGAATGGCGAAAGAATAAACCACAATATTCTTGAACGCAATTTTCGAAATGTATTATGTACCTATGTCTTGTGTGAGTATGATTGTACGAAGGGCCTAATCTTACAATATTTGTGGCCTATCCTATCTCGAAAACCTATGCACGCCACAGTAAATCATCTTAGATCTTTCTAATATAGTCTTCTAGAATTATATAGTCTTCTATATAACTAAGAAAAAAACACATTGGTACTTGCTGTTTGACTTGCCGATGGTAGGTTTTAAACCCGCGCCCTCGTTAAACCTTCTGGCCAATATCACATTTACATAGCCTTAGATAATTAAATATGACTTCTTTTCTGTTGACGGGGTGAACCTTCAAAAGGCTCCTAGCTGTTTAGGGAAAAAGACTAGGGAGGGTGGGATTTTTACTTCACTAAAACCTGCCTGGTGGCCACCATTCGCACCTGCAGGAGGCACCGGGTCCTCTTAGTAGACCAACCCTGGAGAATTAGATATACCTAGAGTTGTTTATTTCAATTTTGAAAGGCTGAATTTTGAATAGGCCGTATCTTTAAAATTGCGTGTAAATGGGTACGCAAAATTTTCACTTTCTATTCTTCAGTTTTTTAACCTGAAACTTTAATTTATTGTCGTTTTTCGATTTGAATTACTTGATACCTACCTAATTTATTTTAACCAATCAACTAGGATACCTATCTTACGATAAAACTGAAATTTACATAGCAATTTTTTAAAAGGTAATTTTTAGACCAACTTTCAGTTCAACCAGCTCCCAGTACAACAGTAATGCAAACTTTTTGGCACATAAGTACATACAAATGCCTGTCTCCCACGGCGGTAGGCAGAGACTATGGAACGCCAATTGCTACGATTCTTACATACCTCTTTCAGTTCATCTACACTCATCAGTCTTTTCGTGCACGCTCGTCGATTATTTTCGCCATTCTTTTTAACTTCTTGGTACCTTTTGCAATATTGTTAAGTTTGGAAATGAGCATGAGTAACATTCTATTTCACATAACATAACATCACGCCTTTTAGACCCAAAAGGATAGACAAAGGTGCACATTATGGCACTTAATTGCCATGTATTCGATTACCGGGTCGGGCAAAGTAAAACTGGATTTTTTTTAATTCTCAGTTGTAGCACGGAGTCTGGAATTGTGCCCGGTATTTGGCAATAGACTCACCCCATAATACATGGGACTCTATTTCACATATCCTAGATATATGCTTAATAATCTACGCATTATTGAAACAAGATATTGTCTGTATTACAAACTCAACATTTTATTAGATTGTACTTTAAACAATGAATAAAATAAACATAAAAATGTAGTAACAAACATTAACTGTAACATTGTACAACTTAAATACTAATTACATACTTATAAGACTACTTCTTAAAAGTAGAATGTGTCCCGAAAAAGCCTAAATCAATTTCATAAGGAGTTTTGGTCCTATTTGCCTGTAGACCTTGGTATATCTTGTCACTAAGATCTGAATGTATTCGACCGAACATTTTCACAGCTCGGTCTTGCAAAAATTTAGTAGCGGGACCCAAACTATACAAAATGTTCTCAACTAACCTCTGCCTTTCTTCTGGCTCCATTTCATTGATATACAACTCCCGCGCTTGTTCGAAATTATCCGGCTGATCTGATGGATCTCTATCAACTCAACCTTATCATGTTCTTTGTAAGGAACAGGTCCATGGAATGAATTAGGATAATAATTTGGTATATCTTTTTGATTGTCCTTAACAGGTGGTACACCATCACGGTTGTACGGGAAAGCTTTGTTTTGTAAAGGACAATTTACAGGTATGTTGAAAAAGTTTGATCCTAAGCGATAATACTGAGCATCTCTGTAGGCCAAACGACGAGCTTCAAACACTTTGTCAGGACCTCCGAGAATACCTGGCACCAAGTTCGCGGGACTGTACGCTAACTGCTCAATTTCAGCAAAATAATTTACAGGATTTTTATTCAAAACGAACCGCCCTAATGGTCTTAGAGGATACTTGTCTAACGGTAAAACTCTTGTGACATCAAAGACATCGAAGTCTGCTTCTTTAACGTCTTCCTCACTTAGAACCTGTATGCTGGCAGTCCAACTTGGGAATTTTCCTTCTCCGATAGCTCTGTACAAATCTCTAGTTGCATAATCTGGATCAGTGCCCGCTAACTTCCTTGCTTCTTCTGAACGTAGGTTTTTAATGCCTGCATCGGGTCTGAAGTGGAACCTAATAAAGTGACTGTCACCGTGTTTATTTACAACTTGGAAGGTGTGGATGCCGAAACCAGGCATGTGTCTATAGCCATCTGGGATTCCTCGATCACCAAATACTAGTAAAAACATGTGCAAACTTTCCGGACGTAGCGTTAGGAAATCCCAAAGCATGTTTGGATCTAGCAAATTCGTCGCTGGGTTCCTTTTCTGTGCTCGTACGAAAGTGGGAAATAGAAGAGGATCTTTGTAGACATACATGGGAGTGTTGAAGCCGACTATGTCGAAGTTACCGTCTTCAGTGTAGAATTTGAGGGCAAATCCTCGGGCATCTCTTGAAGTGTCAATGCCTCCTCGCTCGACAACGACTGGGGAGAATCTAGCAGCGATAGGCGTCTTCTTGCCTACTTTACTAAATAATTTAGCTTTACAAATGTCGGTTATATCGTGTGTCACTTCAAAATAACCAAATGCACCGCCAGCCTTCGCGTGGACCAATCGTTCTGGGGTTCTTTCCCTAACCAAGTGGGTCATGGTGTCCATAAAATATTCATTGAATATCAACCTCTCGTTCAATGTTACTGTAGCTTCTTTCTGTTCGATGGGTGCTCCAGCGGCGGTAGTCATTGTTGCTACGGGTCCCTGAAAAAGTAGAAGGAGTGTGTTTTATTACGAAGGCATGATCTTAACTTCATCATCTATGTTATGTATAAAAAATACTGGATACAAGGTTTTATTATAATTCACTGTTTCTAAAAGTTAACTGTTTGTTGTTGTAATTAATGACTACAAAACTCATGACGTATTGAAAGAAGTACTTAGGAATCTTATAATAAATAAATCAAGTTAAATAAACAAGTTTTCTATCGAAGTATTCTTACCTTGCTTTTCTCTTTGAATATAACGATTTGGTTGGCAGCCGGATCATTTTGGACCTTCGCTGTGACAACCGCCATCGCCACCAAAAACAACAGTCTCAGCATTTTCAAACACATTCTTATTTACTTCTTTTTTTAAATCACCATAGACATTGCAGTTTTTCTGACCTCTGTGCTTTCTGTTGGCGCGAGAAGACACCACGTTCTGCCTGAAAGTATAATATTTATCATTAAAAAAAAAACTGTTTGTTAAAAACCAAATTATTTTCAATAATTCTTGTACTTTGTTGAGTTTGTATTTATTCAGCTAATTGGTGCACGTGACCATAATTCTTATATAATAACCTTATAAATATGTATCGGTGCATCCGCGTGACACGAAATTTTTTAATACATACAACGATTATAACAAATAAACCTGTTGTAGTCGTAGGCCTTCTTTGTGGCGGGGGAAGCCTAGCTTTTTTGTGGAGAAAAACTAGGAACTGTCGGATTTTTATCTCTCACAAAAACCACCCCGGTGGGCATAACCATCACCTATAGTAAAGGAGGCATCGAGACCTCTATATTAGACCTGCTCCGGAGACCTCAAGGCGTAACGCCTGAAACGGCACATCCCTAAGTAAGCCTTGTAAGGCCTGGAGTACCAGAACCAGGTGCACGTATAATTTACCAGTTGTCAGTCCCATGTATACCAATATACTACCAAGCTCATCCGAAACAATTTTTCAAAGTACTTAGATAATAAGAACTGAAAATCGGATCCGTAAATCGAATTTACCGAGTGGTCGCAAGTGTGACTGCCGGGCAAGGGGTCTCGGGTTCGATTCCCGGGTTGGGGAAAGTATTACTGGCTCACCCCCTATTACATGAGATTCATAACATAAATAGTGAAAAGTGGGTTTTACTTTATACAGTGGCATAATATGCACCTCTACCTACCTCTTCGGGGATAAAAGACGTGATGTTATGTATGTATGTAACTTAAGTTTGTTGTTAAGCAGGTATTAAACTGCTTTTGTCCAACGCTATATGGAAAGGCTAACAAGTAAGTACTTGAACCTAATTTCTTAATCGGCAAGTTTTGAAAACTACTTTTATATCCAGATTCAGTGAGAACCAGCCAGAATTTATTTTTATCTCCATTACCTACGTACTTGATTTTTTTAATCTGAATCAAAAATAGAATGAAGAATACTTGCGTATTGAATCGACCTATATTTGGACACGCCCAACAATAGGTTATTTTTTATTAACATAGGCTTAGTACCATAGACATAATAATAAAAGGTTAGTACCAATATACCCTGCCCTTGCGCATACAATAAATCGGGGCCCTTTGTTTTGTATTGTTTTTTTTTAAGTTACACCCCACTAGGATTTACAAACATCCAAGTTCATATACACATGACACCCAGACCCGAAACAACAATTTGTGGATCACGTAGATTTTCTCCATGCAGGAATCGAACCTGCTACACATTCCGGGGCACCCGGTTACCGTTTAGCGGATGTGTGTCCGTCGCGTCGTAGAAATTGTCAGTCGTGCAGCGCCCCTGAGGATGGTGGTCTTAGGGCACGGGCCCCGGGTACCCATATGGTAAAGACGGTACTGCCTATATATAGATCTAGATATACGTGCTTAAGCTTATGCAAAAAGAAAAATAATTTTGTGCATTGCTTTTTAATTAGATCTTTCGAATTAAAAGCGGCGAGCAAGGGTAGCTCGCCGCCCGACCACAACCAGACCCGTGTGTACGGCGCGTCGCGTTCCATGGAAGGCCTAAAGGGTTGTCGAAGAGCTGGAGTGTGAACGGGGTGGTTTTAGTCATTCGACAATCCCTCTCGCCTAACCCAAGGCGGGAGAAGCCATTGGATGATTTTCTCCCGCAAAATAAAAGCCTAGCAGTGCTTTCAAAATATTTCTATTCTTATTCGTTTGAATAAAACTCTTTCGTAAAAATTGTAATTGTATGTAATAAAATATAATACTCGAATCTATTACAAATCTCTGTATACCACTGCAACATTACATTTTCAATCGAAATGAATATAATACCTAACTTATTTACTTGCGACATTCATTCTTAGCTATTATGTATACGTAATGGGTACCTAGGTGTCTTGCTGACTTTATTATTGTAGTAAAATAGGTACAGTGGGCTACTGACAGGACAATCTACTCTTTACCGTCAAAATTCTTTATTACATTTTCAACTCTATCTGGTGCCCTTTAAAGTCGAAAATTCTTGAAAAAAATGAATTAATTATACCAAAATTAACTAACAGAACAATATTCTTCCATAATTATAAAAACACGAATTGTAGCGGTTGAAATGAACACATGAGGTCAAACACGAATTTGAACGAATTTGAATTTGAATGAACGAGTTTGCGTCTCCTGTAAAGTTTCAGTTTTTGACTTCACAGATCCTTTATCACTAGGGCCACAGAAATAAGTAGATTTTATTTAGGTTACCGTCTCCTATTTTTGGAAGCCCCGTTTTTAAATGCACCCACGAGTTTTACAACACAAGGAAATCCTAGCGCAAAGGAATGTCGCGGAGAACCTAACGGTCGCGGAGAACCTAACGGGTAACCGGGGCTCCGGCTCGACGTGCAGGAGAAGGAACGGGGTGGTTTTTAGTCAGTAAGAGTGTGACACTCCCTCCCGCCTCACGCAGGTGGGAGCATACATTCGATAATTTTCCCCCTTAAAAAAAAGCGCAAAGGAATGCCGAAATATGTCTTAAAGTAAACAGAGGTTTGATTGACTGCACAATGCACTTGCGTAGCTGGTGTAGTGGCCGATAGTCCTGCTGCTCAGCATACGTCTTTGGTTTGATTTCCACACTAAATATTGTTCCGTGTTCCTATGAGGTGATGAACCTACCTACATGTTTTTGTAAACGCATCACACTGCTTTCCGACTCTCTGAGGTTTCTGTTTTGTTTAATAATAATTAATAATAATAAAGAAGTTGTGCATGTATTGTGTAAATTGTGTTCTATGTAATTATCATTACTTTATAAAAAAAGCCGGTCAAGGGGTCTCGGGTTCGATTCCCGGGTCGGGCAAAGTATTACTGGGTTTTTAAAAAATTCTCAGTAGTAGCACGGAGTCTGGAACTGTGCCCGGTATATGGCAATAGGCTCACCCCCTATTACATGGGACTCATAACATAAATAGTGAAAAGTGGGTGTTACATTGTACAGTGGTATAATGTGCACCTCTGCCTACACCTTTGAGGATAAAAGGCGTGATGTTATGTTATGTTTATAAAAAAACTAGTACTAATACTCTGAGAAGGGGTCTCAGATTGGCTTTAATTTAAATTAAAAATGTTTGGAAGATAATAAGATTTTCGTAATGAAAACCATAACACTAAAATAAGTACCTCCTACTACTCTTTATTCTTCAGTAAAGATTAGTTACAATCGATAAGGCAAATAGTTAATGAATATTCATTTAATCAAGTAGGTCCGACAGATGTTACCTGTAAACCCTTGGCAAAAGTTTCTTTCCTTAATGACTTAATCAGTATAGTAAACATTAGTCAAGGCAAATTACGAATTACAAGTCAAGGAAACATTAGTATTCAAGTAATTTGCCTAAAATACAGGAAGGATATTTTGTAGAAGATCGTTTCATAGGCCATATATCAACATCGTGAGTAATCGTGACTAAGCACTAGGTTTCGTGATCAAACGCCAATTTTTTTTTAATATGAAATTTTCCTACTTCATGCTCCAATGTTTTGAACAACATCTTAATTATCTATATTCATTGATTGACTATGTTATCATAGAGATGCAATAGGCAATCCTTAAAAAACAAATGTTCTTTTACCGTACGCTAAACACAACACGAACCACAAAAATTTCTATCTGCACTGTCGATGAAAAAGAATTTAACAATAAAACAAAACACTATACATACCCAGATAAAAATTCACAATACGTAATTTTTCACTAAAAAAAAAGATTTAAAAAAATAAATCCTTCCAATTTTAAAAATCAGTTTACGACTTCCAACGGATACAGCTGTCAACCGTATTGAAGCTGTTGGCGGTAAAACAAGAACTTTTCTTACGACCTCCGTCACAGTCTACTGATTATGAAATAAAATGTGTTGCAATCTGTTTTCTTATACTATGCAGTTCAATTATTCAACATTCTGGCCTAAATGTAACAAGTGTAATAAATTGCTCCATTAAACAATGCCTAAATTGGCAGACTGGTACGTTATGCTTCCATTGCTTGTTAACTCGTCGAGTACCGGTTTTATAGACACAATTAAAGAACAATAGGTCGCGGTCACCGGTGACCGCTTGGTATTTGACAGTTTAAATTAGGAAAGTTTCAGTTGTCTTGTTTACAAAATCAGCAATGACTACCGAATTTTTGCAATAACGAAAGTTTTGCCTACAAGTTCGTAGGCACATTCTCTTCATCAACAAAAAGGCAACCAGTAAAATCAGTTTACTAATTAGACCAATGTGATAAAAAGCTATCAAGCATACTTTTGAATTCGGAAGTTAGACATCTGACTACCTAATAATAAAAATATAACATCTTGATAAGTAGCTTTTGTTCATAACGAATTCATGGCGGTTTAGTGCCCCTGCATCGATGAACTATAGATCACCAACCTTGACATCTCAAAATAATAATGCATACCTAAGTAGGTTCTCGTGGTAACATGACATAAGCCTAGAAAACTAGAAGGTCGATATTCTAGCAATATACTAATTGAACATGCGAATTTTCAATTCATAGTAATTAAGAAACTCCAATGACATTTGAAATCGCTTTCATTTGACACTTGGGAGTTAAGGACGTTTGAAAAAACGCAACAAAATGTGGTTTGTTCGGCCTACTGATTGCGATGTCCGAAAAAAAAGTATAAGGTTAAGTTCAGTATTTGATTATTTGTAACGGATCGCTCGTCGAGGTGGTTGTACTGTTCGTGCTTTAACTTTTTTGTTGAATTATCGGCCGGTCGGCGTACATAAATGTTGTTGCCTACAACGCTACGTTACAGCGACAGTGTATTTTGATTGTTAATAAGACTAGAGTTTGCAGACTTGGAGGGTCTGTGTTGGAGTCCTATTTTTATGATTCAACTTTATAAAATAATGACTCCTAAATAAACCGGTTTATTTAATTACTTAGGTAAGTAGGTAGGTACCAACATTGAGAAGATGTTTTTTTAAGCCGGGAAAATCATGGAATGTCTTCTCCAGCCTGGGTGAAGCGAGAGGGAGTGTCAGAGCTCAGACTCTTACTGACTAAAACCCACCGAGCGCCTACTCCTGCCCAAAGGCTTAAGGGCTTAACCGCGGCTCCGTATCAGCATCAGCCCTATTGGGCCCCATCCGTAGTGGTCTGATGGCTCTTTGAGGCACGCGCTAAACGGGACGCGCCTTACGCTCGGGTCTGGTTCTGATCGGGCGGCGAGCCACCCATGCTAATGAAATTATATCATGCTATGAATATTGAGAAGATACGAGTAATATACCGTTAACATACCTACAAAGATTTCAAAGCAGTATTAGTTTTACGACACAAATTGCAGACTGTCATTACTGAGAAATTTGCATGATCCTACTAAAGCATTTTTTTCAAAAGATGAACTTTGCACGTATCGGATGCATAAAAGCCCGTTGTGGTACAAACGGACAAACAATATAATAGACTTATAATAGGTATTTATGTATCCTGCTTACGCCTAACAACCTGTAAGTTTCATATCTACCTATAGTTCGAAATCAATGAAATACTCGTAATTTGCTATAGCATGTATTGGTTTCAAGGTTTGTTAAGGTAATTGAGCAAAAAATGAACCACATCGACACGGCCATCTGACAAATTAATTGCTGATAGAGCAGAACAAGGCCTACTTTATAGCTAATTAGGTCTGCATCACCATAACTAGAGCAATGCCTTCAGAAAGCTAAGAGAAAGAGTAGGAAGGGACTATGGGATCTGTACCTCAATAGTAATCACCTCGGAAGCCACCATCAGCACCTTTAATGAGACCTGTCTACCAGGGCAAATGGGCACATAACAAGTAATTCAAGGTCCTTTTGGAATGCATCTTTTTTATAACATGCATTTGCAAACATACAAGTTCATGCACATCACACCCATACCCGAAACCACAATTTTGGATCACACAAATATTTGTTTATATTATAACTTTCGTGAGATATATTAAACACCCTAAACTTTGCGGGGCACCCGGTTGTCGCGCAACGTGTAGCGGGCCTGTGTCCGTCTCGTAGAAATTGTCGGTCTTTTGGGTCCCCCGAAGAAGGGGGCCCTGGGCACGTGCCCCGAGTGCCCTTATAGTAAAGTACTGTTTACTTAAAAGTAAAATAAATTGAGTTGGTTTTGGCATTGTTTTGTTTGTTTTGTTAGTGGTTGTTCCAATTTAAACCATTGCATATTGGGAAATACAATCGTTGCATATGCTAATTAATTGCTCAAACTAGTCGAGCACTCTCCTTGTGTAAATGTAGTTAGATGGGTACTATTTTTCACAAAAATTAATCAAATAGTTTAACTACTTCTGTGTTAAATTCAGATAATTATGTATTAAACAGAATTTTCAAAAGCAGATGCGTTGTTACCATTTCAGAGAAAAAGCTTTTATTTAGGATTCAATTATTGAGTTTGCAAGATGTTTGCAATAGTCTTATTTTGAAGTAAATAGATAAGTAACATAACATCACGCCTTTTATCCCCAAAGGGGTAGGCAGAGGTGCACATTATGCCACTGTACAATGTAACACCCACTTTTCACTATTTATGTTATGAGTCCCATGTAATAGGGGGTGAGCCTATTGCCATATACCGGGCACAATTCCAGACTCCGTGCTACTACTGAGAATTTTTTTTTTAAAAACCCAGTAATACTTTGCCCGACCCGGGAATCGAACCCGAGACCCCTTGCCCGGCAGTCGCACTTGCGACCACTCGGCCAACGAGGCAGTACAATAGATAAGTAGTTGCGGGAAAAATTAAGTAAGTAAAATCCAGTTAATAGTAAGTATATGTGCCTCCTGATATTATTAAATGAGTAACGGCTGGATGAGAATTATCATTACTCATAATTATTTTGCATAAGCGGAACGGCGGAACATTAGGTACTTAGGTAATTTAAATACCACAACCTACCAATTATTTTTTAAGATCTTGGACTTAAAGCCATGGAGGAACGAATCATAAAATATTTATCAAACTTCCAAAAAAAACATGGGATTAGAAATTTTGTAATAACTTTGTATGTTGTTGTCTGGCAGTCTGGCATGGCCACGTTAGATAACCTACGATATTATCAGACCTGTTAAAACAAAAATAATTTACCGTAACTTCTTGGCATGCCAGAAGCATATTAGTTTCATACATTTCTTCCGGTTACAGCGCATACCTAAAATTGTTTACAGAGACACACCATGCATATCGTGTCGTGTAGCATACATCGCTAAATGCTTGCAGTCGATTGGTGCTCCTGACGCCACGGTGCGCCCCGCCATAGTAATGTATTTTTGCCCTTACTGAGTAGCACGATGGCGCTGCCATAAGTAATCTGAATAAAATATTTAATTCCACACCTGGTATACCTCGTGATGTTTTAAAATTAAATATATAAAGTATACTTTATTGAACGGAAATAACTTTTTTATAAAGAAATGAATGTTTATATTCGTCTAGTTTGGATCCATCTGTCAGAGTCCATAGAATTTATGCCGAATCTGTCAGCTTAACGAGAATACTTACCCAGTTTAGAAACGTCAAACAGAAATTTATAGTCTGTGATTAATAATGCGAAAAGCGTCAAATCGTCAATAAAATTGTAATCCACGTTTTAACAACATATTCTCCGATTTTATCTATAAAATATTAAAATGTTAAATCCTTGAGTTACATACCACAGTTTTGAGTGCACTGGAATAGTGTTCATGTTTATTGTGTTCATTGAAAAGTAACCAAAAATGGCAAGGTCGCCTAAGGATGATCCAATATACAACGATATGAAGCACAATACATGGAACTATCATGCGGAAAACGCTGGAAACTGTGTACCTGATGCTTTAAATGAGAGAAAACCGCCACAGATCTCGCCCAACCCGAGTGTCATGAACGATAATAGTATTTACGTCAACCCGAGTTTCGGCAATGAAGTTTATTTGAACAAACACGCTTACAACGTGCAGTCTGGTGATGCCGCCGCCAATACAGATGAGAAGATTCCTTTCAATAACATGCCTAACGTTCCTCGCGCCAATCAAAATTACGGTAACGCTATGCTCAAATTGAGTAATGGTCAGTCAGTGCGTGTGTTTTACGACGAGAACAATCAACAGCTTATATTCCCAATGTCGGCCGGTCAGTATGAACTATTCAACCACAATCAGGGAGTGCGTGACATCCCCTTACAGATGCCCCAGCCCTCACACATGTTTACACTGAACCAGGACTTTGCTATGAACAATAACAATGTCCACACACCAACAACTGTTAACCAAACAACTTATCCTGAAAATGTGACCAGTCAGTCTCCTACATCTAATTTCCTCAAAGATTTGTTGGGTAATTTGGAGCCTAATTCAACTGGCACATACTCACCATTTGGACAGAATTACCCCCTCAATCATCCAGATGCATCAAACATGAATATTCTTACAAACAACCCTGTAATAGAACCTCCAAAGAACCAACCTATAAAGGTAGAAAATTCACCAAAAAGGAATGAAAACAGTCCCCTTGCTGACACAAGCAATAAGAAGCGGATTGTAGCAGAAGTGAAACCAATGCGTCCTTCATACTCTGATGTGTTAGCTAAGAATACTAAAAACACTTCTCCTACTGAGACTACTCGTAAAGTGAAGCCTCAGAATATAGAAACCAAGCCGATGAATAATAAAACAAACTCTAAACCAGAGAAGCCAACTAACATAAAACAGGATGACAACAAACATAAGAGTGAGAAAAAACAGAACACAAACACTATATCTTCTGGCAGTGAGTCGGGAGATATAAACACAGACGACAATGAGAAGCGTCAGAAGCCAAACAAGAAGTCTAAGAACAAACGTAACAACATTTCTCGTAAATGGTCATCTCTGGACGACATTACTAATGAAGAAGAGTCTGGCTACACACATGACAGTGAAAGTCAGTTTGTATTCATTGAGAATCCAGAGAAGCCATTGAAAAAGGAGAAGAAATCAGACAGTAAATCAAAGGGATCGGACAAGAATGCAGCGACAGAGGATGAATACAAGCTGGATGAGGAAGATGATCAACTACAATTTGTTATTCAGGAGGGTCAGGGAGAAAGTGGAAAGGCTAAAAAGAAGAAGGATGGACGTAATTATCATAAAGCTACAAAGCCTGTGCAGGACAAGAAGAAAAATCTTTCAAAGCTGAGGAGGAACAAACCAGGCTACTTAGGGTTGGCACAGAATTATTTGGAGCACTGGGGTGGAGCGACATGGAAGGCACTTGTGTGGTTCATGTATCTACTGTCAGATATATGCCGCATGAGTTTCCATTTGTCATTTGATTTGTAAGTTTAATCTTAAATGCACATTTATTTTACTACATACTTGCTATCTACAAAGTAGGTTTTTCAATCAATAAGATAATAGTAAAAAGTACTAAAGTTTATGTCACAAAAACATTAAAAACGAACACTAGAACAATCGACCAAGCTGCTAATCTGATTTTTTCTGTGTTTGACATATTTTTATTGAGATTTTCATTTAAAAGCCTTATTAAGTACTATGTTTTCCTAAATCTAGGTTCAAATATTTCAGACATAAGTAATAAACATAGCACAAAGCAATTCTACAAGACAATAAATCCATATTATCTGTTACTAGCTGACCCGACAGACTTCATACTGCCTTAAAAAAGATTTTTCTTGCCTTTTAAACCTTTCCTGGACTTTCACAAATATTTCAAAACCAAAATTAGCCAAATCAGTTCAGACGCTCTAGAGTTTTAGCGAGACTAACAACGGAAATTCATTTTTACTTATAAATATGGAAGATATTAATTTCATCTTTATTTTTCAGATGCACATCGGTGTTTACCCAGACATATGTGAGTTCCCAAGCAGTGTGGCGCAGCACCAAGGACTGGATGAGCAAGCTCAGTGACAACAAATACTTCTTGTACATCGACAGAAAGTTTGGGCACACCAAGCTTGGCTTCTGGCGGAAATTGAAATGGTTTAAAAAGGGTGAGTTTTAAATCTAACAAATATAATTAAATGCGTGAGTTTATGTCATACATTTGTTACTCTTTCACATTAAAATGGCAGACATGTTCAAGATTACATTTTGGAACCGGAATAGATTATGGTTTAGAACAGGGCTGTCCAAAAAAAAGGCCCGCATGCCTTTTTTTGGGGGTTTTCTTGTGGCCCGCGACACACATTTTAATCTCAACATCTTCATCTTATGGGCAACAACAATAATAAAATTCAGTGTAAGATTTGTTTAGAAGTATTGTCTGTGAGTAAAGAATACAATGTTAAACGTTATACATTATACAACTGAAAATACGTTTCTGGCCCTCCACCTTTTGTAAGAAATTTAATTAGCCCGTGAGGGTATATAGTTTGGACAGCCCTTGTTTAGAATAACACACAGGCTATGTTTTGTCCCATGAGAATGCAGGACAAAGCCACTGGCAGAAGCTAGTTGGATGATAGTATTTATATTATTTAAGTACCTATTTCTATTACAATTTATGTGAATGATATAAAACTGAATTTACTGATGTTTATGCCATCTCTCTAGATTTATCTAGTAATCTAGTTTTTATGACAGATACTTGATCAAAGATACTAAAGATTTTGAATTAAGATTTAGCATTCAGATCTAGCATTGACTGCCCCGTTGGCTGAGTGGTCGCAAGTACAACTGCCGGGCAAGTTGTGTCGGATTCGATTCCCGGGTCGGGCTAAGTATTACTGGGCTTTAAAAAAAAATCAGTAGTAGCACAGAGTCTGGAATTGTGTCCTGTATATGACAATAAGCCCACCCCTAGTTACATGAGACCCATAACATGAAAATAAGTCTTACATTGTACAGTGGCATTAGGTGCCGTACTGTGCACCTGCCTACCCCTTCGGGAATAAAAGGCGTGTTGTTACGTTATGTTATCTAGCATTCAGTAATTGATTCAGCAGGTAATACCAAATGCCATTCCTAACATTCAACCATAACTTTATAGTGATATTATTTACAATATTCTTTTGTTGTCATTACCATAACAAATAAATAAAAAAAAAACAATAGGTTAGGTATTTGAGACATGGACCTTATGTGTAATATAATAGGAAGTGTAATGCATTGTATTATCTAGAATAGACCATAAACCATACTACTATGCAACTAATAATAACAATAGAATAATATCAGAAAATCACCTTTGAGATACGATTTGTTTTGAACAACAAAATTATGTTAAACATTATTTTATCATTGAAGAGCTCAAAACAATATCCTAAGGGTTATTGCTTCTGCGCCCTAGTATATTCGGAACTCGGAAATTCATGAATACCACCGAAATGCTAACGATACTCGACGAAGCAAAGCGCTACACTAACAACTACAAAGAACGTTTAACAACTTACCCCTTTTTTTAAGGGGGAAAATCATCTCATTACTGCTCCCGCCAGAGTGAGGCGGGAGGGAGTGTCAGACTCTTACTGACTAAAAACCACCCCATTCCTACTCCTGCACGTCGATCCGGAGCCCCGATAAGGCATCAGCTCTATTGGGCCCTATCCGTGGTGAACTGATGGCTCTTTAACCCGCTATTCAGCTAACTCTTACACCCTAACCAGATTAAGACTCAAGAGAGCAAACGTGCTGCCTTAATATGGGGAGAATGAGCAATGGCTCTGCCTCACCTAACCTTATCATCATCCAACTCACCTGATTATGACGACTGATCGCAGGATTATATACATAAAAAAAATATTATTATCATACTAGCTACTCCTGCGCGCCGCGAAGGATTTAATGGGTTGCCGGGGCGTTGGCTCGAAGAGCAGAAGTAAGAACGGGGTAGTTTTTAGTCAGTAAGAGTCTGTCACTGCGTCTCGCAAACTCAGGGCGGGAGAACTAAAAGGATGATTTTGCACCCTTAAAAAAGAAAAGCTTCTCTCGCGCGATTTTACTTTTTCTACGTGATGCCATAGCGTGGTGTTTTATAACCTATATTAATAGATAATAGTGTATATTTATGCCATGTATAAATATATCTATATCCAACATAAATGGATTATCTAACACATAAAGAATAATTGAATTTGGACCTATATATTTCGTAAGATTAGCCTGTTGAAACAAACAAACTCCTTAGCGTTAACATATTAGTATAGATTTATAAATAGAATTTTGTCAACATAATAACTTCTTCCTAAACTTATATATAAAATAAAACTATATTACAGGTGAAGCAATATTACTATGTATTTGCAAAGAACACAGTACAGTTAGAACATTATTTATAATTATGTATAGTCTTGCTCTAGATAAACCGTTTTACTTGCTAATTACTCAGCTGATATTAGCATATGTTCACAATAATATTATCATATTACTTTCTAGGTTAGGCGTAGAAAGTATTTTTTAATCTACTTCAAAAAAAGAACTTCGTTTGACCTGTATGTATATTTGTGCGACATTATCTCGCGATTGGCTGAACCGATTTTGATGCGGTTTTCAGAAAAGAGTTTGTTACACTTAGGAGAAGGTTTTAGTGTATTAACCCTTTGAGTACCGTCTTTATAGACACAATTAAAGAACAATAGGTTGCGGTCACCGGTGTCCTCGCGGTGTTTGACAGTTTAATTTACTGATTTAAACAAAGAGGAGTTTGAAGTTGTTTTTTTACGTAGTTTATAAAATAATTATATCTTATACTATATATTTTTTAATAGTAACATCATTCTAATTAAATATAATAAGGGTGTAAAAAGACATCGAACTGGATATTTGTAACTATGTTGCCACATTGATATGTAGTAAATAGTAATAGGCATTTCATATTCCAAAATATGTCAGGATTAAATCTATACTCTATCTATACGTACTACTGTCAGAGTCGCTAGTTATAAAATAAACACGAACAATTAGTTTCCTTTAAAACTTGTTAGTGTGTTAAAATTATATCAATTAATTCATGTATAAAAGTCATATAATTTACATAGGAAGATACCAATGTACCTAATTCATGAGAAGTGAAATTGAATAATGGTGAATGAGAATTATTTTAGTAACACATACACCTAGTAACCCACATTTAAGACATTGAGGCAGCTCTAATTATATTTAAAATTTGATTAAACTAAAGTTGCTAATGCTGGAATACTGAAACGTTACTCAATTTTAAGTCGTGCTTAAATATCGTGCTGTCTCTGTCATTTTACAAAGAACTTGTAGAGACAGAACTATTTATTTAATAATAATTTATGTACACACAGACAGCACTATACAGATAGACTATGACAGATAGACTATGCTTAAGTTCGACTTAAAATTGAGTAACGTTTCAGTATTCGGGCATTAGTCTAGTTTTTTAGTTCTCTTATTCTCATTTTTTTTAACGTTGCCCCACACTAGGATTTTCTGCTGTGTCGTGGGTGCGTTTACAAACATACAAGTTCACATACACATGACACCCAGACCCGGAACAACAATCTGTGGATCACATAAAGAATTGTTCCGTGCGGGAATCGAACCCGCGACACGTTGCGCGACAACCACCACGCCAACCGTGCAAACAGTTTTCCTTGTTTTGTACTATGTCGAAACTTTGTGGTATTTGTTTATACACGAACAAGGAAAAGAACATGAAATGGCAGTTAATTCGTAGTTTTGATTGAAGCATAATTTCAATAGATTGATAGTTTATCAGAATCTACCACAAGTGGTACGGTGGCCAGCAGATCAAACCACTCTAATCTGTCAAATTTATTAATTAGAATTTCGGCTTTATGTCGATACAATAAGGTTGAAGATATATATAATATATATACAATAAGGTTGTGTGTCGTAGCAAAATAAATGGCTTTTCTTTCTTTCTTTCATATATGTAATAGAGAAATTTGACAGAAGGTTGACCGGCTGCCTCGTTTTTTTTTTTATTATTTAAAGAGAGTTGGTGACTGCTTAGTGCTTCGTTGGCCTTGGCGTTGGAGGGGTCGCAGGTTCCACTGCCGGCAAGGGTCTCGGGTTCGATTCCCGGGTCGGGCAAAGCATTACTGGGTCTTTTAGAATATTTTTAGTCAGTAAGAGTGACACTCCCGCCTCACCCAGGCGGGAGAAGTCATTCGATGATTTTCCGCCCATAAAAAAAACCCTATACATACAATAGATATGTGTAAAAACAAGATTTACTTTACAATCGATACTAAAAATGTTCCAATAAATAAAATCTAACTTTAAATGGTGTACAATAAAGGCTTTATTCATTTGTTTTTATATTTTTTCCAGTGGAATTAGAAACGGACAATGGAAATGATTCGACAAAGCTGAACGCGAACATACCTTTGCCCGCAACTGGGGAAGAAGCTATGAAGAGACTGTTAGCATGCAAAGGGAAAGATCCTTACAGGTAAGCCTTTTGTTTGATGAAAAATCATTAATAACTTGACATATTGTATTCAAATTCACTTTTTAACAAAGCTTATGTAGGTGCTCTTCTGGTGAACACAATGTTTTTCAGTTAAGTTTTTCTTAATTTTTTTTTTCTTAAAAAAACGTTGCCCCACACTATTTGTCTAGTGATAGTCTTTGAGCTATTTGTCTACAATATTATATACGATTTCGTGGTATTAAAATATGGCAACAGGGTCACATAAATAGTGAAAAGTGGGTGTGGCATTAAGTGCCTTAATGTGCACCTCTGCTGCTCTACTGGAGACAAAAGGCGTGACGTTATGTTATGTATGATTAAATCCTAAAAAATGTTTACTTAAAATCTTGGCAATTGATACTAGGTAATTCGCACAACGCCAACACATAGCCACGCTACCATTTTTTAAACCATTTAGACGGTATTTACAAAATATAAAAACTAATATTACATTAGAATTGTATCTCGCCATCAAACGTTAAAAGGCGAGTCAGATTAAAGGCCACACCTATGTAAAATTTCACAAAATAAAAAAATATTGGTATCAAAATTAATTACTTATTTCAAATATTAAATTGATTCCCATCTTGTTGGTGGGCTGATTTCGTAGAGCCGTCGAAATAGATATAAATAGATAATACCTAATTATTATGTAATTTATACTTTTAGTAATAATTATATAATTATAGATGTGGTTATTATTGTAGTGTGTAACTAGGTATACCTTCTTTACTTTATTAGACGTATGGTAATAAAAAATGTATGACAAGGGCACGGACCAAGAGTCCATGGAGAATTAATCTGTAACATTATGTAAAAAACAAAAAAGAAGTTAATTATATTTTGAAATCCAAAAATAAATTGAAACTGCATTTAGATACTATAACTGATGTAGTGCAACGGCCTGTTATCTGGTGTCATTGACATAAGTAACTGTAATATAATGATATATGTTGCTTCTGACCGCTAACTGACGTCTCATAGTCCTCGGGGACTAATCAATATAATGCGATAAATATATATTAAACATAGTACATGTTTTCATGTAAACTGCGCCTTTAATTTTAAGGGTAAACTCATTGTACTTTTCTAGGTATTTCGAAATCCACCCGTTGGTATTTCGAAAAATCCCTACTACATTTCTAAAGGTTAAATAAATACGTGCTGAACAGCAATTTATTGTAGAATCAGTAGTTTCATCATTTGTCGGGGATTTTTATAAAAATGTCACTAGAAAATAATGTGAGGAAAATGCTATTGTGAGAACTACACAATAAGTATTCATTTGCTGCTAACCTGCTCTCTGCAGTTATTTAATACATTTGTTATCCTATTAAAATTTAAAAAAGTAGATATTTTTTATACCAAACCCGCCAAAAGGTTTAATCAAACTCGATCTGGGACAAAGATAGTAGTAAATTACAAATAGACTATTCAGTTTCAACTAAAAAAGCATTACAGTGAACAAAACCACTGGGAGAAATTAAACAAATTAATAAACTTAATCCTACACTTGCACAAACATAAATGTTGAATTGTTGATACATTACAAATGCATCAATCTGTTATTTACACAAAAAGCATTCAATGTAACTTGCAATCTCTTGCAACTTAGTTATTTATATCTTAACCGCATTCATAATAATAATAATCTACTAATTTGCTAAGCAATTAACCATATCGCTCGTTCCGTTATCATACGTCCCGTAATCTATGTAATTGTGCCATATTGTATAATAATTCTGAATAACTATCAATGTTGTAACGCACATAAAGTTATATATTATGTAATAAACTTGAAGCATGGTGTTAATATCTTCTAAACAATATAACCTTGTTTTTTATAGTCCCTAATTGTATTTGTCAATATAACAGTTTAGTTTTTCCGTTTGTATTGTTGGCCGTATTCGATTTTTGAATTGAGTATAGTACTAACGATCTTTGCTAAAATGATACTAGAATTGCACCTATATTAGTCTCGAATTTGCCAAAAATCGGCGAAGCGTCACTGATTCATGATAGATGTCCCACCCACACGCACGAAGCGCTTCGCATCAAGCTTTCTTGTGCGTACTGCTAAGGAGTGGAATTCTTTGCCATAGTCAGTATTTCCTGAAGGGTATAACCTGGGTGTCTTCAAGGCCCGAGTGAATAGGTTGCTTATGGGTCGACGTGCTCCATCGTAGGCCACATCATCGCTTACCACCAAGCAAGATAGTGGTCAAATTTCAGTCCCATCTAATATAAAACAAAAAAGTAATAATTCGGAATTGCATAATATCAATATTACTGCTAGCTTTCCTCCTCAGCTTTGCCCGTGATATTCAATCTAACTTTGAAATCGTCGTTAAGATTCAGTACCTATCCATTGTGGAATTGGATATTGAAATTGGTTCAGTAGCTTTTGAGTTTATCGTAGACAGACAGACGTGGAGTTGGACTTGTTTTAATTATAAGAAACGATAAGGATATTGTATTTTCTTAATTCAGTAATTTATAATGTTTTAAAAGACCATAATTATTATGGCTGCCTCGTCGGCCGAGTGGTCGCAAGCGCGACTGCGGACAAGGGGTCTCGGGTTTATGCCCGGTATATGGCAATAGGTTCACCCTATTACATGGGACTCATAGGTAAATACTGAAAAGTGGGTGTTACATTATACAGTGTGGCATAATGTGCACCTCTGCCTACCCCTTCGAGGATAAAAGGCGTGATGTTATGTATGATGTTATAATTATGGCAATATTTTTCTTTGACATTTAATTTTCAACAATTTCCTCTTTTTTTTCAGTATACTGGGAGTAAGTGTGACGTGCACAGACGAGGAAATAAAGCGCTACTACAGACGGCAAGCGTTCCTCGTGCACCCAGACAAGAACCAACAGCCCGGCGCTGAAGAGGCTTTCAAAATACTACAACACGCCTTTGACCTTATTGGGGAGCCGGTAAGTCTATTTTGCTTTGTAATAATCTTTAGTTTCATGCTTATGGCCATAATATATTCTCAAATAAGTGTTAAATGAATGTGAATAAGGTTCAACTTCCTTTAGCACAAACTATGTGTATACAGCCTGGTTTTACTTATCTACTTCTTATTGAGAACCATAGACTTTTCTGACCATAGAAATCTGTACTTTGAAAGAACCTAATAGCTTCCTTAATTTAAGAGCTAACAGACACGGTCAAGGGTTATGTTTTTAATCGACTTCCCAAAAAGAGGAGGTTCTCAATTCGGCCGGTATCTTTTTTATGTATATATATCGATTACACTGAGGATTGTGGACTGATTTACGTGATTATTTTTTTGTTAGATGCGAAATAGCTGCTTTTTGGTCGCATCAAAATTTGATTCAGTATGGTTTAGCAGATCTTTATTATTGCTTGACTTTTAAGCAGTGATTTTGTATATTTATCTTTGAGAATATGTATAACATGAGGACTTTAATCTTAATTTTCTTGTACATAATGTTCAAATTTGTTTGTAACAGGAGCGCAGAGAAGCGTACGAGCGTCGTGCGTTAGAGTCCCGGCACGTGGAGGCGGCGTGGAGCGAGCTCAGTCAGCTACTCGCGCAGCTACATGATAAGATGGAGTTCGCAGCTAATACTATCAGGTATATAGCTGCTTATTTATGAGCAAGTTAGCGAACTCCATTTCGCCACCGGCTTCGTTTTATGTAAAATTTCGTTTAGTGATTAACCCCTCGAGCGTCCTTATGAACCCGGTGGATCATAAGAAAAAATGCTCCAAATGTCACGTGATGGATCATAAGGAACGCGGACGCTCGACGGGTTAAAAGTAAATATGCTATAAACCTCACGGAGCCCGAGACCTATCCAACGAATGCAAAACCGTGGAAATCGGTTCATGCGTTCTGGAGTTATAGCGTCAGGAAGGAAAACCCGACTTATTTTTATTTATGAGCAAATATACCATTACATGGTGAATGGTGCTTATCAACTATTAAAGTAGATGACTGTACTTAGTAGTTTGATAAATAGGAAATATGGGGGTTAACTGGATAGTTTTACGGGAGTTTGCTAGTTCTATCAAATTACTGAACTCTTGATAGCAACTCATGAAAGCTCATATTTGAACTAAATAACGTACTACTTTTATTTAAATTATTGTGTTTCTTGAAGTTCATTCATTGGAAATCTTAATTAATAAAATGTATATTAAAAATTTAATTTTTCTACAAAAATCGTTCGTCGCAATAGCTGCTCATGATGAATATGAGCCCCAATCGAGGCTTGAAACTAGTCGAGCACTTTCGAACAGTTACGCGTTTACCATTGCTGTAATGCTCCGTGTGATCTACTAACAAATAACTGATATCTTACAGATATAATTTTAACATAATGCTTGTAGATGTACAAACTGCGGGCGTCGTCACAAGCGTGTGCTGACGGACCGACCGTGCTACGCAGCGCGATACTGTGTACAGTGCAAGATCAGACATTCTGCTAAAGAGGTAAGCACCCATTTCATCATTTGTACTTACATAAATGTAGTTTGAACTAAATACTTACCTAGTTCTATAATCGATTTTCGAAAAATGTTCACCCTTTTTGTATGACTGCGATGATTCATTCATATTAAGACCTCTTTCAAGAGAAAAGTCAAATGACTTGACAACTGGTGAACTCTGTTCAACATGCTGGTTTGTTCCATAGATATGTGGAAGTTTTTATTACATAATAGCTACCCCCTCCGGCTTCGCACGGGTTCAATATGCAAATATTAAACATATAAACGTTCCTGAAGAATCACTCTATCTATTTAAAAAAAACCGCATCAATATCCATTTCGTAATTTTAAAGATTTAAGCATACATAGGGTCAGACAGACGGCGGATAGCGACTTTATTTTTGTACTATGTAGTGATATGTGTTTTCCAGGGCGACATATGGGCGGAGTCGAGTATGATGGGTCTGCTGGTGATGTACTACGCCTGCATGGACGGCGCCGTTTACCAGATCACACAGTGGGCTAGCTGCCAGGTAACTATGATCCGAGAAAGTCTGAGATACTCAAGTCTGCTGATAAGTCATGAGGTTTATTTTTGACCTGTTACACGAAATTGTATGCAAAAATACAAAATCTTATTGACTGCCTCAATGATTGGATTACCTACCTCTTTAAATACTAGAAGAAATGACAGAATCTATAGCTTATCAACACTTAAGTAATATTTTGTAAATCTTAATTATAGAAAAAGAACCTGAAGCAGCTAAGGCCTGACTGTCACGTGGTCCAGTACCGCATCGTCCTCGGGAACAAGGCGGCCGCGGCCTCAGACATCAACCAGAGACCTTCTACTGGGTAAGTGTCCTATTCCATAGTCTGAATTTGCTTCAAAACTGTTAATGTATCCTAAAAATAGAATTCACGCTCGAATAGAATAGCTCAAAGTCTGGATCTGTGCCCAAATTGTCTTCAAAGCTAAACAACAATCATACAAAATTAACATGTAATATTTTCTCATTACAGGCACGATCCTAACCTCGAAGAGTTCTTGAACAACCTGTACAGCAAGTCCGGTGTATCAGCCAACACGACAAGCCCCAAGCAGTCGCCGCCAGACACCACAGACGCTAAAAAGCGACGCAATAAAAAACCTAAAGCATAAACAAAACGCCTCTCGTGAAAATGAAAAAAAAAACCGAGCTGTCAAAATAGATGGACTTGAATTCGCGCGCAATTCAAATATCGAACGCATTTGACACGAGCTGGTCAAGCCTGCCGTACCCAACTGTGAAACACTTGCCTTTTACAAATAAAGAAAGTATAAATTAACAGAAATTAAACCTTATTACTGATCTATAAATATAATTATTTCTAAATAAATATTGTGTGGCTAAGATGGCGCTTGAAGGATAGATTGTGTAAGCGTTAAAACTATGTGTATGAAATGTCGCTAACGTACCTACTTAGGTTAGATACTTTTGATGAGAATAAATTTCAAAGTTTTTGCTAGCTATTTAGTTTCTATCATTCTTAATTTGCTTAATTTTGTGATACATGAGATTGTGAAGTTGATATTGTAAAAGATTTTCTAAGGTTTAATGGAAACGAGTAATTTATAAATGCTAATTTCCATTAGACCTTTATCAAATATAACACTCGAGTCATTAGTAATAAATATGTTTTCAACTCTTTCACGGCAAATCAGTTATTTTTTTTTATAAATTGACGTTTGACTATTTTGACAACTATCCTTGGAATTGTGCGTTCAGATATTGTCCATAACTATGCTAATGAACTTAAAGGCTAATTGACCGACTAATTCACAATAATGTCAATTGTCTACATTTACTGCTGAATAATCAAATTCGACTTAATTTTTACATCAGATACGTTGAATTTGGATTAACCATTTATTCCTAAGGATACTGCCACGACAGTGACTAGGGACTGTAACTTTATTTACATACATTAATAGTACATTATTTTTGAGCATTCAAGCGAGGTCATTAAACTCTTTAGTCTTAAGGCTCTCTTTTGTCTCATCGGACTCAAATTACTGTTCTTAACTTTTTAGTTAAGGATACAATTTTAGCCCCTACTTCCAATATCTGAATGCCACAATTCCAATTAGTTTCCATTCTTTCAACATTACATTATGTGTTCTAGTGCTATGATTATAAGGATCAATTTGACAAAGCAGCGGGAACTGCGTAAAAATACTCTTTAAAAAAATTAAATTTTAATGTACGTTATTTAAGTACCTATGTAATATTTTTTTCAATTTAACACTAATCACACCGAATAGTACAATACGTTTGCATTCATACGTTGTAACGTTATTAATAGTTATTATTATTATTATTGATAATACGTTGTTTTTAAAACTACGCTCGTATACGTGCGTAGAGAATGCAGTAAATTGAGTTTTTTTTTCTAATACTTCAAAATAACTCACTATTTTTTTGTACTATCGAAGTCATATTTTGTGTAATACTTTGAAACTTGTTGTAAGTTACTGTAAAGCGACAAGTTGGGAATAACGTGTAACTTTTCTTTAATACCTCCAAATATAGAAAATTTTACTAATTGGTACGAAATTGTAGTAACCCCCTGTATTGGATATCCTTTCGAAAACAAGGAGTCCAATTGTCATATTTTTTTTAGAACCAAATTATCAACGGTCTATTTCCACTTCCCCCTTTCCCTCAAAGGCCAGCACCGGTCCCGTACCGTCTCTGGTCCATGGGCGGCGCCGATTGCCTACCATCAGATGAACAGCTCATTTGCCGCTATCCTAAATGTATCTTGTCGACTTTACAGTAGCTTGTATCACCATAATGTTATTATTTCACTTTGTTTCACTGCCTCATAAGAGATTACGGTTTATAGTTAGGCTAGTAGCGAGGAGATTGCTACCTGATGTTCACTGAGTAGGCCTTCGCGCTTCATGTGTCAATAAAGATGTGGAAACGTATTATGGATTTTATTTTTTATCTCCTACGTACTTATATCGCTTAATGTACAGCTATTTACAAAAAAAGTTAATTTTTGATGGAGCTTCTAGTTTTATTGACGAGACTGCATCAGTCATAAAAACAGGAAGTCCTCTCAAATCTTTGATTTTGAGATAAATTTCTTTTCTAACTAAAAAAGGGACAAAGCGGAAGTGACTGGCCTGAAACGAACCTATTTATATAGTCTCAATGTTTTGGAGAAAATTAACAATTTTGCGAGGATAAAATATTTTTCAATGAAAATCTTGCAACGTCTAGACAACTAGAGATCGTAGCTAGACATACTTTGTTGATTGAGGAACAGGGTAAACACGTGTGGACTCAGAAAAAAATAATTTGTCACAACACAAACATGTAGAGGTAGGTAGGGGAATTAATCTAAATAGTTGTTTCTTATGTGGAGGGCTTACGGCTGATCTGGGTGCTTACTCTTGAAACCAGTGTCAATGCAATTGCAATCCAATGAAAACTAAATAATTATTCAATGCCAACACTAAACAGCTACTATTGTGGTTGTTACAACCACAATCGTAGCTGTTACAATAGCATTCAGAGTACGGAATATAAATCCAAACATAATACCATTTATTTCATTAAATACCCACGCATTACGGTTGCAATGGGCGCTAGTGTTGAAACTCGAGTACGAAATTCTCAATATCAATGTCGATCGATCGGAATTGGATAAAATAGTAAGCCCACTGAAGACTAAAATTACAATTTTCTAGGATAGGTTGGTCCTGTTCTACTCCGCATGAAAATCATGCAATATATCACGAACTAGAAGTCATAGCTAAAAATTAATTAAATTTTCGAAAACCCCTTATGATTTCTATATTATACTTGCGCGCTCTAGTTGCTTTCATTGAGTAGTCACTAATACAAGAACTAAAACAACTTTTTTTTTTTTAATAAAACATTTTTTTAGATATTTTGATGTTTATTTACATTCTACATGTTTAAGATCTAGTCCATCATGTCTGTCTCTGTATCCTTAGCATCTCTATCAGTAACAATACAGTTTTCATACGTCCACTTAGGGAACATGCGTTTGTATAGATTCAATAACACTGTGTCTTGAGACTTCAGCTGACCGTCGAACACACATTTCATGTGGCCGTGAGTACCTGTAAAAATATAGTAAATATATCAGTTTTATCCTAAAACCTAAAAAGGATAAACAGTGGTGTGAAAGTAATATAAGTATCTAAAAGTGATGCGGACTAAATTATTTAATTTCCGCACGTAACAACTCTTCATATAGGAATAATGATAGGGTATGAAAACTAAAAATAATTAGATTTTTAGTCCGTCAGTAAGGTAATGAAAAAATATTACACACGTATTTTTTTATTTTGTCGTATAAGAAAGCAATGCTCAGATAAAACGAATCAAAGTTTAGGGGTGGAAGGTAACTGTCATTTTATAGTATAGATCGTACATACTCAAGTGACGTCATGCGATATTTCAAATCAATATAATTCGTGGAAACTATTCTTTTCCGTAAGAAAATAAAAAATACGTGTCTAATGTTTTTAAATAGTCTACCAGACGGACATTAAAATAAAAATTTGTCATCTACCCTATTGACCCATAAATTGTAGTTCAAGGTCTGGTTATGTTATGTGTATCTGTATGTTTGTTAACGCACCTACTATAACAGGCAATAATATTACTGGGTCATGTTTAAAAAAGAGAGAATTCTATACAATTTATACTAAAAGCTATTTTTTTCTCTTTGAGTTTCTACCCATTCATCAACAGCTTATAAATGCCCACTGCTGAGCAAAGCCTCTTCTCACTCGGAAAAGGTTAGAGCATTAATCACCACGCTTGTTCAATGCGGGTTGGCGATTTCAAACTTATAATTAGAAATTATAAGCCCAGGTTTCCTCACGATGTTTTCCTTCACCGTTGGTCAGTGGTGTCTAAATAAACTTAGAAAGTACATATAACTGAAAAAGTCACATTGGTACTTGACGTTGGTAGGTTTCTAACCTGCAACCTCGTGCATGAGAAGCAGGCGTCTTCAACCTCCGGGCCACCACGACACCTTCTTCCCATTATGACATACAAATTTCTATCAATTCCTGTTCAATATAACATACACATACCTAAAGCTTCCTTTATGTGTCCCGTGCGTCCGTACTTCGTCCTAAGCTTGCAAGGTTTGAAGTAGATGACGTCATCACGGTTGAAGAACATGAACCTTATAACTGCTGACTTCTTATGAACCTGGAAAAAGATTAAAACATTCATAATATCATAGGGCCAGGTTTATATATTAAAAATCTGATAATTGCAATATTAAAAACTAAAATAGTAAGTAGTTTACTAATTCTGGTCTTGCAATCCGAACTTATACTAGTAGATGTGAAAAAGTGAAGATGAAATTCTTTAGTTCATTAGAAATAATAGACTTATAGGTATTTTAATTACCTTGTATGGATGACCGGACAGCACAATCCTCTTGATGATCAGCCTGTCAGGGTTGCAAGACAATAATACTCCTGTAGCTAATAACTGTAGGTTCGTGTTCTTCTTTTCCTGTAAAAAAAAGTAAAATATTAACATCACGCCTTTTATCCCCGAAAGGGTAGGCAGAGGTGCACATTACAGGACTTAATACCACAGTACAGTGTAACACCAACTTTTCACTATTTATGTTAGGAGTCCCATGTAATAGGGGGTGAGCCTTTTGCCGGACTACTACTACTTTGTCCAACCCGGGAATCGAACCCGAGACCCCTTGCCCGGCAGTCGCACTTGCGACCACTCGGCCAACGAGGAAGTCAAAGAGGCAGAGTACTAAACAATCATATTATGATTACAATTTTCGTTTGTTGTAGATTCCTACAGAAGCGTATGCCCAAAATAGAAAAAAGAAATGTAATTTGAGTTAGGATTTAAGAATTTTAAAGTGTTTTAATGCAACATCTTTATTGAGCCTAAATAAAGTGAAGAAAAGAATGATATTAGTAAACAATTTACCTTAAAACAGAGAACTGAAGACGGACTAAACTGTATCGGCGCATAGAAAGAAGCGACGCAGGTGGACGCTGGTTGGAAGAATCTTTCATACTGTAAAAATAAAAAAAGAAATAATTACATTGTAAAAAACATAGGCAACCAAATAAATTTCCTTTTCCTCGAAACAAAAACAGAGGTGTACATACAACTAATTATTTAACCAGATAGTGTTTTAACTTAGTCAATTTGTATCAGTTATCAAATCTCATATTATTATAGAGGGTCAATTACTGACAATATTCGAAAATATACTACCTTTGGATCAAACAAGACTCCGTATTTTGGAATAAATTAACATAACATAACATCACGCCTTTTATCCCCGAAGGGTTAGGCAGAGGTGCACATTATACCACTGTACAATGTAACACCCACTAATTCACTATTTATGTTATGAGTCCCATGTAATAGGGGGTTGAGCCTATTGCCATATACCGGAATAAATATCCAGGAATAAACTAAAACATGAAAATATGAAGTAATTGGTACCAACCTTATGCTTAGCGCCATTAGTATGCTGGCTGAATATAGGGTTAACAATGAACCTCCTGTACCCAACTTGGAAGATCAACTTCTCTTTACTCTTAATTGGCTCGTCACTGGCTCCTGTACGCTTCAGAGCTACGTTCATGACAGACATCTTATGCTCATGAGGTAATAGACCAAAGACTGCAAGAGGAGCATCACCATTTGAAGCGTGGAAAGTTTTCCATAGATCTTGGCGAACACCCTTCACATGGATTGTGATGTAGAAACCGTACTGTAATTAAGAATAGTTTTAAAAATACACAAATAAAAATGGTATCATTTTCTTTTATTCTCTGAACGAATATGTAGCACTTAACAAATATTATTAATTTGTGCCCAAGCAAAAAATTTCGCTCCTAATCAACAATTCATTCGAAATTAGTTCCGATAGAAATAAAAAATGTGGTGGTCCGAGAATTGTACCCTGTGGCACTCCTTAACATTTTATAACCAATCACTTTGATTCTATAGAGATAATACAATAATAGGCTTTGAACAAACCATTAATTTACAGGTAAAGTAAAGACTGCCTAAATAAGACTAACTTAAGATAAACAATAATCAAATGCAACATACCATGTTAACCAAGCTATCTTCCAACTCCTTGAAAACCCTCCTCCTAGTTCTATCATAGTTCTCAAACTGGAATATCCTAGCATAATCTTCTGGCAGATTTTCTTTAGGATCCCATGAAGAGGTTCTAAATGACTCCAATCCTCTGTATCTCATGAACCTTTCCCTTGCTGGCACATCTTGAGGAGTGTCTACTTCATCAGGGAACTGCTGGTCTTCCTTAGCTGCTGCAAGCTTTTGCAGCATCTCATGTTCTTCATAAGCATCTATAGTAGCATCATACTTTTCATCTGTGGGTCCTACTTCTGATTCTGTCACAGACTCGAAGTCATTGTCCTCTGCGTTCTGTTCTTGATCAGATTCATCTTCCTCACAAGACATGAATTCGTCATCTTCATCTTGTCCGTCGCTCTCACTGTCGTCGTCTTCCTCATCGCCTTCAGCGTCAGATTCAACAATCCAAGCTGCTTGGTAATCCGACCAACCTTTTGGAACCTTCTTCACTTTTTTTAATTTAGTCTGTGGAAGGAAAAGAAAGAAATAAATGACTACTATGTTAATTACAACATTGTCCTAATCAAGCAATTGGTATTTTAATTTTAAGTGACCATAAAATTGTTTCACTGACCTCTAAATTTGCTTGTTCAATTTCTTCTTCAGTAGGCCATGTCTGTTCAGCTTCCATAGGATTGGGAACATTCTCTGAGACCAGACTTTCCTGTTTAGCTGGATCAGCAACTTGGAGCACTGAGATCTTAGTAACTTCAGCTTCCATAGTGTCATCTGATTTTGTGTTCTCCTTACCCAAGTTCAAAGGATGTGGGTCTTCTAGGCCATCGATCCTTGACATCTGGAAATCTCCCAGTCCAGTTATATGCACTAATCCATTTACATTCAATGGCATACCTCTTAAGTATCCACTAATTTTAAGTACCATTTTCACCTTCACTATCAGGAACAAATTCAACCTCTTCAGCTAACATATACGGTCTTTTCTCTGTGATGGATGATATTACGTTCTGGTTACCAATTCTACGTAATAGATTTAGTCCATCTGAACTTTTATCTAGCTGCATAACTTTTTCTTCTGGAAGCCATTTTGAAACAAGTTTCTGTACATTTTGTTTTTCAGTTGTACGCTTTTTGGGATGTACTCCTTCAATGTCCATTGTGGCTACTATTGGTGTGGGCATGCCTTGGGCCATAGATAAAGCTAGGACTTTCTCTCCCCATTCATCAACTGGCTCGTCAAGTGCTGAGGTGATAAAGAGAGCTGTGTCTGCAACTTTGAGAGCATCCAATAGGGCAAAGTCATTGTTCACTTCTGGGCTATAAACGAGAACCTCTGCTTAAAGTTTGGTAGCCTGTAACAAATTACTATCAGTATAAAAAGAAATATTGTTTGAAAGTTAATACACAGTTAATTCCATTTAAAACTTACCCAATGTGAAGGATTCCTTTAGAAGACTGAGTAATAACAGCTCCTTCTGAACATGTCTTCAGTATAACAAGAGCAGAATTTACGTCCAACTGTGCATTCAAGGTACCACACAAACTAAAAACGGTGGGTTACGAGTTCCGCCGAGCGCGCGTTTCTTCGACAGAACCTCCTCACGTTTATTCTTTCTGATTTGAAGAGCCTGATGACGACGCTCTTCTTTCTTCAAAATATGACGATTACGCCTTACAAACTCCTTAACATTCACTTTACCTACAGATTTAATTCAACATTTAGCTTTGTTCACTAAAGACAATCAAAAAAGGTGATCACTAAAAACAAATAATTACTAACCTTTTACTGCCGCTGAAATACCACGTTTGGAACGATGACGTGATTTGTGAGCCTTATTGCTCTGCTTTAGATTTCCTGCACGATGTGCTTGCTGCATTTTTGTTGATTAGAAATGCATTAAACTGAAATTATTTACTAATATTACAACCACATGGCGGCACGGTACAGAATTTGAGAATTGAAAATGTGACTTTGACATTAACGTAATGACATTTGACAGTTGACATTTGATGGTGACACATAAATCACAGATAATAAAGACATATAAAATTCGAAAAATATTCTCGATAGTCAAAGAAAATAAATGTTTGAAAGAAATTATTATAAAAATTACTAGTGTGAAAAATTACTGCAAAAACAAATTAAAATAAACCATAGTAACACTTGATTTATGAAACTTTGATTCATTCCTACAATTTGCAAATAACACTCCTTTCTTTGTCTTTCTTAGCGTTTAACTGCCTAACGAGTTTTTTATAAATACAGCACAAACAAATTCATATACTTTTCTAGCTATATACCATTAAAAGGAATATAAATATTAAAAAAAAATTATAATGACTTACACAAATACGCTTTTTCTAAATAAAAATATATCCCGAATTTATTTATTTTTCTTTAGCTTTCTTAAGGGCAACATTACACACGCCAACATCACAGGTCACGTGACGTGACGTTGTGGACGTGTCATTCGCGGACGGCTCGTTGGCGGCGTTGCGCAGGCTCTTTCTCGCGAAAAGTCCTATTGGAGTGTTACTAATGAACAAAAGTTGAATGGTTTTAGCCGGATTGATCAGTTAATATTTTAGTTAGGGTAGTTAATTCGCAATAAATCAAAATGGGAAGTGAGTATCGTTCATATTTTTAACTAAATATAGTGTTAAATCGCAGACACGTATTTGCACATTTTCATGATTTTATTGTAATATTGTGTGTTGTGTGTTAAAGGTGTATATATTAACGTAATTGTTCTGCTTGCAGTCAAATTCCTCGAAGTTATAAAGCCGTTTTGCAGTATATTGCCAGAGATAGCAAAACCAGAAAGAAAGGTAAGCCATCGTTATATTTCGTCTATTTGTGTATTCTTTTTATGTTATTTGTGTTTGTAGAGCATGTAGCTTACGTTATTAGTCGTATTTGATCAATTTAGGACCTATATACGTGTAAAAACGCAAGTGAAAGTGCATTCCTAACCCTAATATTGGAGTATGTAGGATGGCTAACTGTACATTTTGGTGAATAACTTTGGGTGGACAATTTGGCACATTTCTAACTAAATGCTTTGTATTTCAGATCCAATTCCGTGAGAAAGTATTATGGACTGCAATCACTCTATTTATTTTCTTAGTATGTTGTCAGGTGAGTGTGATATCTTTGTAATTTTTTAGTGATGTGGCCATATGCCATTATCAATTATGCTATGTTATACCTCATTTATAAATGAACTTACATGAGCATAGCAACAAAACAAACAACTTCCAAATCCCTACTAAGTTTATGTCATGATTTGAATGAAAATATTGCTAATACCCTCATCAGGGGGTGTAGTTACCCTAATTAGAGAATGTTCAACAACTTGATAGAAAGTCAACAAAATAATAACTTGAAACAATAAAATTGATGTTAACTTTAACATATGGAAGTACATTCTCTTATCCCAGTCACTACTTAAACATCAATAATATTCTAACAACTTTTATTCCATTTCAGATCCCCTTATTCGGTATAATGTCGTCAGACAGCGCGGATCCCTTCTACTGGATCCGTGTAATCCTTGCATCAAATAGAGGAACACTTATGGAACTCGGTATATCTCCTATCGTCACGTCAGGCCTTATCATGCAACTGTTAGCAGGAGCTAAAATCATTGAAGTCGGTGACACACCAAAGGACAGAGCATTGTTCAATGGAGCACAGAAATGTAAGTGAATCTTTTTGATCCCTTTCTCTTTTAGATTGTCTATGGTAAGTGACCTCGGCTACATGTGCACAAGGCTTATACCATACTAGCCCCATGAACACTATACTTATATCACAACTCAATAAAGATTTCATGAAATAAAAATATTGTGTTAAATATCATATTTGTTAATAAAATTACTTCTTCAATGTTTATATTTACAAATGTCTCCTAAAACCTTGTGTATTGAGGCAGAATGCCAATCTTGTCCTAAATAAAAACAGGCACATTGCCAAAGTATTATTTATAACAAAAAGAAAGAAACAACTTTCTAATTGTACTTAAATATGTATTAGAAATTATTATTGCTATAGTAATAATAGGTAATTGTCATTATCTTTAATCTCACAATATCTTACAATTTATATTTTTGTTATTTTGGATTATCTTTAGGAATTACCAATTTAGATAATGTTTTGTCAATGGGTATTACCTAACTGGACCATTGTTAATATATAATTTGTAATACCAATGTCTTTTACCTTATATTACATTCGTTAACAGCTAATGGGTTTGACAAAACAACTTGATGCCTTTGGTTTGTTGATAATTAAGAATATTCCCATATGAGTTCCAGAGTTCATACCTCTATGAATATAAATTCAATCAATATAAATGTTCATCAAAAACTATAAGTTCATTGAACACCCCTCCATTTCAATAAAGCCAGCCTTTATCAACTCTTAAATTAGCCATTAATTATCAATTAAAATGTCACATTAAGATACACAATTAATAAATTGCTACATAATTTTTCCATAAAACATCCATGAAGTCCAAACAACAATGAGTTCCTAAGTTCTAAGTAGTTCTAACTCATCCAATTGTCCACAGTGTTTGGTATGGTGATCACTGTTGGTCAGGCTATTGTCTACGTAATGACTGGCATGTACGGAGAGCCCAGTGAAATCGGAGCTGGTGTCTGTCTTCTCATCATCATCCAACTGTTTGTCGCTGGTCTGATTGTGTTGCTGCTCGATGAACTCTTACAGAAAGGTCAGTAGAAATGAAACAGACAGCCATTTTGAAGTTGTCAGCTTAGGAAATGTGATAAATGTTGTAATTTCTACTTAATTATGTTGTAGTTTAGAACTTGTTTGCTAATGTATTTGTTTACAGTTATGGTTGTGAAGTTAATGTAACTGTTTTTCATTCATATATTATCTATACTAATATTATAAAGTTTGTTTTTTTGTTTGTTTGTTTGAATGGGCTAATCTCCTAAATTACTGATTCGATTTGAATAATTCTTTTTGTGTTGGATAGTCCATTTATCGAGGAAGGCTGTAGGCTATAAAACATCTCGCTACGACCAATAGAAGCCGAACAGAGCGTGTGAAACCGCGCGCAAGTAGCTAGTGGAGACATATATTTCTTAAAATAAGGCTTTTGAGATACTTTATGCAATCTATACTTATAAGTGCATTGATTTACAGGATATGGTCTTGGTTCCGGTATTTCCCTGTTCATTGCTACAAACATCTGTGAAACTATTGTCTGGAAGGCGTTCTCCCCTGCTACCGTTAACACTGGTAAGTTACTTCAGACATATATATAGCCGGAATACTGAAACATTACTCAATTTTAAGTCGTGCTCAAATATCGTGCCATCTCTGTCATTTTACAAAGAATTTGTAGAGATAGAACTATTAAGTAAGTACGACTTAAAATTGAGTAGCGTTTCAGTATTCCAACAATAATCACTTAAATTATAATTTGAAAGTAACTTAACTTTAATAGTATAAAATGTTTGGTTGAAGTTGTATGGCAAGTTTAAGAGAACCACATGCACACATTGTCTTCATAGTCTAAAAAAATTACTTTAGGAAAATCAATACATAGGAAAATTTTAGCAACTAAAATGATTATTTTGGATTGGAGAAAGCTATATAAAGTATAGTAAATGGATGATGAAAATCAACATTGAATGGACGCAGTATAATTCTGACATTTAAAGGGCAATTTTTTAAAGTAAGTAATATTTGCGTACAGGTCGCGGTACTGAGTTCGAAGGTGCAGTCATTGCATTGTTCCACCTGTTGGCCACTCGCCCCGACAAGGTGCGCGCGCTGAGAGAGGCATTCTACCGCCAGAACCTCCCCAACTTGATGAACCTGCTCGCCACTGTCCTCGTCTTTGCTATCGTGATATACTTCCAGGTGAGATTATGTTTTTAGTTATAATTTATTGTTTTGATCGTGTCTATATTGATTTTGTTAGTGATTCTGCCATTGAACTTATTAAAAACGCTATCATGTTGTTCTAATCCTGACTAACGGTAAGCAACAAGAGAAAAGACGATTCATTAAAAAAATGTGAAAGTATACCAACTTATCTCTTATTTACCTAAGTTCAATACTGGGTTTACATTTATCGAATGTACTAATGTATATTGTGTAAATATGTGTACCACATTCCATCAATATAATGAGAAATTAATCTATGTCATGTTTGTACACAACCTAAAACATAATTCAGTGTCATTTTTAACGAGAATGATCTTTAGTTTCACTTTCATAAATACAAGTACCTACTAATAATAATATTTTGTGAATAACAAGATAGCATTACTGTGATAGTAAAATGCATTTTAATCAGCTCATTTCTCAAGGTTGCTGAAATCTGTTAAACAGATTTTTAACTTATTCTGTCTGCCTCATTGGTCTCCATTATTTATGTTATTCTAAAACAAAATCTTAAATCAGTCTTTGAACAATGTTCCGTGTTTATTCGGCAGGGCTTCCGTGTGGACCTACCGATCAAGTCTGCGCGCTACCGTGGCCAGTACTCGTCGTACCCAATCAAACTGTTCTACACCTCCAACATACCTATCATCCTGCAATCCGCTCTCGTCTCCAATCTCTACGTCATCTCACAGGTTTGTAAACTATACTTATTACTGGTGTATACTTTGTAAATGATAATATTGCTGTAACTAGAACTCTAATGAGAAAATGAAATAGAATAAAAATAAAGCATGCTGTAAACATTCCTTTTTTAAACTTTAACATTATATTTATTATCTTCGTTTTAAAGCAATGCAATAACAAAAGTCTTGATGACGATTATTCGCTAAGAAAATGCTCAACAATCCAAGAGAATCAAAACTTTATCAGGATAAAACACCTTGAAATTTTGAAAAAGTCTACAAAAACAATTGTTTTCCAGATGTTGGCTGTAAAATTCAGCGGTAATTTCCTGGTGAACTTACTGGGAGTATGGGCTGATGTGGGCGGCGGCGGCCCGGCCCGCGCCTACCCAGTGGGAGGCCTGTGTTACTACTTCAGTCCCCCGGAGTCACTCGCTCACATCGCACACGATCCTCTGCACGCTGTACTCTACATCATCTTCATGTTGGGCTCCTGCGCCTTCTTCTCAAAGACCTGGATTGATGTCTCCGGATCCTCTGCCAAGGATGTAAGTATATGATATTTTGACATAAGTACACGTCATTGTTTAATTTTAAGCTATGGTCATTTAAACACTTCTAAAATGCTGATAAGCTCTTATTTGTCATTTTAAGGAAATACGACATGTGTGACCTACAAATTACTCATCCAACACTGCATGCATAAAACTCGTAACAATATCGATCCAGTTATAGGTTTTCAAATAAAATATTCATACTGTATCCTTAAGCTACATTTGTCTTCGTAAACCGGTAGAGGTCAACGAACTTTGAGACTTCACAATCATTGCCTTTTATTATGATACCGTTCAAGTAGTGGCCGCCACTTAACTTTCCAATTAGTGAAAGTGTATTACTAAATGCCGCGGAAATAGTGCAACTGTTTGGGCCATTTTATTTCAGTGTTTTTAATACTAGTATTGTAAAACATTATTATTGATTCAGTGTAGTTCGAATACTTAGTATGCACGCCCTGTGTACTGCAACTGAATAAATTACGAGTAGAACCTAATGTAATTTGCTATCGATTGTTTGTAAACGGTCACGTGTGTCCGCAGGTCGCCAAGCAACTGAAGGAACAACAGATGGTGATGCGCGGTCACAGAGACAACTCAATGATCCACGAGCTCAACCGATACATCCCGACGGCGGCCGCCTTCGGTGGACTCTGTATCGGAGCTCTGTCAGTACTGGCCGATTTCCTCGGCGCCATCGGCTCCGGCACGGGTATCCTGCTGGCCGTGACCATCATCTACCAGTACTTCGAAATCTTCGTGAAGGAGCAAGCCGAGATGGGCGGCATGAGTACACTGCTCTTCTAGAATCATAATAGTCGTGGTCGCCGCAGACAGCGCTCTGGTCACAGTTCGTATTTAGCGGTCCGCAGCGCTCTCTCCGGCGCTGTAGTGTGCGTGGCAACGCGTGTGTGGGTTATGTGCTAATTTATATAAATGAACTTTATAATAAAATAATTTACAAGTACAGACTTTGTTTTTGTAGACCCTAAGCAGGTTAATGATTGTTCACATATTTTGGTCATCAAGACACCATATCAATATATTATCTGTGTTAGATTACTGTTAACATTGTACACAATAGCTTTAGAATCCTCACGAGCAGCGTAGACGTCAATTATAACTGGGACTTATCAAACAATCTGCAACATTGTCTAGATATGAAGACTGAACAAAGGATGTGAAATTAGACATTGTCTCAGCTGAACTCAACTATTATTGTTAATTTTCAGTTTCTTAAAAATATAAGTGAAATGACAGTAATTGTAATTTATAATATAAATGTTAGTATCCAACTTTGTTAAGATTAACTTACAAAACTTATGTCTCATTAAGTTTGTGTTGGACTGTTTGTAATACATTATGTATATTTTGTTATACTGTTGATCCACGAATATATTAGATCCACGTATTGATTCTGTCGTCAATGTATCAGAAATAATATGTGGTTTAAGTAACTTTACCTATAATAGATACAACTCATTATACGCCACAGATTCAGTAGTTATTAATTCGAATAAATTCATTTATATTGTTTTGGATCAAATTATTTTTTATTTACATCAAACTTTTACAGAGGGTAACATTTTGATGAACTTCCTAGACAATATTGTGGAGGATTTGTATAAAACAACACAGTACTTTTGTTATGTAACTTTATTCTCCTCACTAGACATGCAATACAAGGACAAAAAAACAATTTACGATTTTCCCTCAAAACCTTATAACAAAAACTCATCACGACTAAATTAAACGGTAACAAAATGTATTTACAAAAACAATAGACCGAATAAGTTTGCCGCCAAAACATTACAGTTGTCGGAAAAATAAATTGAGATCTTAGGAACATGATTGGTAAGAGATCGAACAGAACATTCGAACTTGGAATAGTGCCATAAACATTTAAATTATGGAACTTAAATAGTATACACGTATGGCACAACACTAAATACAATGTACCTTACAGTTAGAGGCACTTTGGAAGGAAACAATTCGTCACGACTGAATAGCGGATTTACCAACTAGAGTGAGGCGTGCACAGCATCATAGAACGACATGCATATAACAAAATGGAAGACAGCATACATAACAATGATTCCAGCAAATTACACAGCAATACTATAAGTCTCGCACTGTGAGGTGTGATATGAAGATCACGTGAAAATAAGAGCGTAGTAAATTTTGTGGAGAAATAAAATGCATTAAGGGACAATCTAGAGACACTTTCTCTCATTTGCTTTCCTCTCCAACACTTCTGATGTTCAGAAGTCGCCGTTCAGTCATGACCACAACCTGGCCCGGGTAAAGTGGATATGATATAATAAGAATTTAATTATTGCTTATGAATTGTTTTGGCCTGGTCTTTGGTCCCTTACCATCATCGGATTGAGGAAAACATTTTATTCTGGACTTCTTTTGGAAGACTAGTCAGTAATACATGATAACCATTCCCAATGTGGTGTTTAGACGCAAAATTTTTCTATTTTTTGATCATTTACAGTATTTCTTTGCTTAGTTACACATCGTACACCCTCAAGGAACAATCAAATTGGGAGATTATCAATGTTAACTTAAGCATAACATATGTCTCTGTATTTTCTATACAATTCTATAGCGCTTGTAGTCCTGCCGCTGTTTAGTGGGTCTCTAGTTAAACCTACTAATTAGTATTCACAGATATTTCACAATAAACCCCTAAATTATTTCTAGGCAATTGAACGATAAGTTTTTTTATAAAATCGATGAATTATACTCAAAAAGCACTTTACCACTACCAAACCTTTTGCATAATATTATGTATGTACAAAGCTATTTCTAGTGTCTCTATGATCGTCATCTCGCGGTAGTTCATTCTCATGTTTATACACATTGGAATTCTTTACATAATAAATATTAATTGAAACCAAATTGTCATAAAAAATACAACAAACTAAACGCAACATGTGTAATCCAGAAAACATTTTTATTATCTTTAACAACATATCCGTGAAAGGAGAAAAGAAAAACAAAGAAAAAAAATAACTATAAGAATAACAGTGCCAATTATTAACTAAAAAAAGTGGGATATAAGATCACTTGTCCTAAATTTATAAATTTTTCTTAGAGGATGAATTAATAAAATGCGTTAGTTACTAATAAACCCCGTAATGTCGAATATCAATCAATAGATGATGTTCAAAAAATTATACTAGGTACACAAGTGTCTAAAACTTCGAACCAATAAAATAAAATCTAAAATATAACAACAAAAATCAATTTGAAGCCGCGCCAGGCAAGTATGTCGTGTATCTTACTTTAGCTACGAACTAGTGATTTCGCTAATCAATCTTTATCATTTGTACATGCGTAAATAGCACTTAAAGTTATTGGGTATATTATATCCAAACTATTTAATATGGTAATTTAGAATATCGTCCGCACTCGGTTCATGTTTTTGCGCCCCCATGCATGCTCAAGTTTTGTCACTACAATCTGATAAAATTACTTCAACCAAAAGAGTTGATATAAAGAGGTTCAATATTACAAAGTAGATCCAGTTTTACCCAGTATGACTGTACAATAAACTACTTTACCATTAGCATGTTTTCATTTTGTATATCTAGGAAACATTAGTCATTTAAAATGCGTAAAATAAATCTTGGAATTGTATCGTCGACACGCATTAACAAAACTTAAGTATGCACGGTCGATAATAACTACACAAAGATAACACAGTGTAACAATTTTTTAATTGTCAAGTCACCAATGTCTGCTATTGGAATACATCCTGTGCATAAATAAAATAATGTGATATACTTTTAGTGAGATAACTGAAACAATTAGTAATTTCCATACAAAAGCAAGACAAGATGGCGGAGTACCGTTACAAATCTAGAAGCGCGAGTAATAATTTACGCGGATGTAACCGAGTGTTAGGCAACTGTTTCTATTTCCTCCTGTTGTATGACGGGCGCCTGCTCGGGCGACGATATCGTCTTGGAAGGCGCGTTGCTATAAGGCAAAGTCTTTAGTTTCCGTGCTTCACGCCTCTGCTTCTTCTGTTGCATCACGAGCCTTAGTTGCTCCAGTTTGCATTTAGTTTTAGAATTCTCCAGGGCTAGAGTCTTAGCAGTATCACATTTCTTGCATATCTTATCGGCAGACTTGCCGACGCATGCAAGGCACAGCTTTGGGTCGAGTCGTCGACACTGACAGTCTTTGGGCCCGTCGCACGTGCAGCGCCGCGGCACCGACGTGGCGGACGTGGACGGCAGGTGCCCGTCGCACTGGCCGTACAGGCACGCCTGCTGGTTGCAGCCCAGGCACTTGCTGCCGTCGTCCGCAGTCGCGCTCGTCGCACACGAGTAGCTCGCGTCCTTCTGTAATGTACAATTGTTACTTAGAACTCGTAGGAAGCGTAACTAGCGATAACAACAGTGTAGACAAGATAAAATTACAAGATAAACGTAAACTATAAATGGTTCACCATTTAACTTAGAAAACAAAGAATATTTGTAGCAGCATTACAAAACTTACCTGAGCTATAGTTATGGGTGGCGCAGCACATAGCAAGTCATTCAGTATATGAATTATTGTAGATATATCTCGTTTGGGTCGGCCATATCTGAAACATTAACATAAATATGTCTAAGTAACGGGACTTGAGATAACAACAGTAAATTTAAATAGACGATTTTCACATAAGTACACATTACACAACAAATATTTTTTTATCATGACTAACTACCTCAAGAGAAATCTTTATGAACTACGCATCAAACAAAATACCGTCACATACTTCGCTCAAATTACTACAAAACGTATCGCCGCCATCTTTGATTAAAAAATTGTGTCGGCATGTGTGCAAATATGTGCTGACACACATTCTATGGCCTTTTATTATCTTTCTAAGTATCTAGTAAATGTTTGGAAGCTCTAAGTAAAAGATACCACTCACCTGTCTTGTAGAGCTGGGTTCAGTGTACCTGAAAAAGTCCCAGAATAAATTCCTTTGCCATGATGCTTCATGGACTCTATCACAGCGCCGGGACCAATTTTTCTGCACACTGTCTCCTCAGCTGTCCTCAGATCAATTTTATTAGTCAACACCTCTTTAGACAATTTCTTTAGTTTCTGAGTCAAATTCTTTGAGGCTTCAATGAGAGCTTTGGTGTCAACTGGAGGTGTTGGTGATGCTCTTTGTGGCTTCTTCGGAGCATCTGGTGCCTTAAATACAATCTGCTTGGATGTGGATGGAGTGGGATTATCCTCAGTCTGACCACTGCTAGGCTGCAGAATTAGTTTCCTAGAATTAGTTATAAGGCTCAGTTCTAGAGGTGGAAGGTTGAGATAAATTAGTGTCCTGTCGACTTTGCATTCTTTTCTTATGTTTATTCACAACAGACTGCATGAATGCTTTCTGTTTATTTTGACCAATTGGATGTTTGAATTTAGATGTCTTGTGCAGTAAATACTGGAATCTCTTATTTTTCAAAGGTTCATTTATACTTTGGAAAGGTGGTAGAGTGCCTGAATTAGTTTCTTGACTGCCATGACTAGTTGTAGCCAGATTAGATATTTCCCTATCCATCATAGATTCATCTTGATCTTCAAATAATCCTTTGTCAACGGCACTGTTGAAAAGGTTTTCCATAGGATATTCATCTATAGGACTTTCAGCAAGGAATGAACTTTGGTCTGTAAAATTATCACTGTCATCACTGAGAGAACTGTCTGGAGTGTGAGACGATGTTGAGGGGCTTTGCTTGTCACTGATGGCACTTGTTGAGGGTATCACATCATTGCTTATTTTATTTTGAGTGAGAAAATCTATCAATCTATTATTTTTCACAGAGTTGACAGCACCATCTTTATTTGGAGAAGATTCTGTTGCAGCTGCATCTATGGGACTGGACACTAGGTTGGACAAAGATTTGATGGGAGATTGCTCACTTTCTATTGATGTTTCAGAGAGATCTGATATTGTGCCATTAGATGTGTCCATTGTATCATCTTTGTCATCACTAGTATCACTTTTGTCACTGTATTTCTCTTCAGCCATAGAACGATATAGGTCAAAACAATTCTGTAGCATTTCAAAGTCTTGCTTCTGTAGCCCATGTGGAGCTGCTGGTTCTGGTTTAGGTGTTTCACTACTGATGTAAGAGTGGTCAGTGGGCACAGGTGTACAGGTAGGTTGAGTTGCTGTCTGAGGGCTGGGTGATTCCCTGGCGTCACTTTTACTAGTCCGTATTGATGTTGAAGAGTTTTTGGAAGGTGTGGATGTTCTCAAGGATCTGCAGCCACTGGAACTCGAGTTTAGGGTGGACAATTGCAACTGGATCAGCATCATATGGTCACCTAACCTCATTGTCAGGTTCAGTGGAGATTTACCACTTAGAAAGTCATTAACCTGAGTGTCATTTAGGGATTCCAATGCTTGCATCACAGAATTCTCGGGTCTATGGCTCTGTAAAGGGATAACACAATAATATTAATGAAATTATAAGTTAGTCAATAGACAACTATCGCCTTAGTGATAAATGTGTATTGATTAGTTTGTCATAGTTGTGAAACACGTGATAATCAGGAGGTACTTGGGGGGTTTCGACACAGCACGCTGTCTCGAGCTCGTGACTCACCAGCAAGCCCGTCTCGACGCTCGGCAGGAGGATTACCCTCGACCCATCCAACAGACCGTTCTCTTCTAGCGTCCCATCCCTCAGTTGTCTGCGAACACGAAACTCAACTTGAATACGCGAATCAAATAACATTGATGCGTCATCGTATCGACATATTTCCGTGATATGTTTGACAATAGAAGCTTAGCGTCTCGACATAAAACTTACCTTTCGCGATGCAGCAAGCATAATCTATCTTTAGACACCTTAAGTTTCTTCGAAACTAACTTCTTCAGGTGCTCCACTGTATTTTTAGGGTTCAAACTGATGGAGAAATTACCACCCGTAGTAGTTTGTATATTCAGCGTTATGTCCGAGGATTGGGGCGAGCCACACCCGTACACCTCTGTTCCCGTCGCGCGTTCCATAATTTCTTCATAAATTACACTAGAATTTACTATAAAACACTGTTCGAAGCACACACGAACTATCTTAAATTACACAGCTATTTTATTGCAGGATAGAAATAACAGGGTCACGCCAGACCCCCAGTTTTTTGATGTGGCCGTCGGTGTGACCAGTTTTCGTTCGCGATATCCCGTTATTTTTTTTTTACAACAGCTGATGCGAAGCGCTTACTATAATGCGTTTTGTTCTATGTCGCTCCTAATAAGAATTTTGTAAATTATGGCTTAAAAATATTTCTGTGACTGACATGTCGAGAGAATTGAGATAACTGACTATATTGTTCATTAACTTTCAGCGTACAAAGAGTAATTCCTATTTATTTGACTCGTTGTTATCAGAAAATTATGACGCATCATGCTCGTCGCTAAATTATGCGAACGTCAAAAGTAAACGTCACATGACGTCATGTAACGCTTGCTGATGACGGTGCATTGCCAGATTTTATTTGAGCGGTAAACTTAAATTAGAGTAGCAAGTAATATCGTAACTTTTTTAATTAAATGAGCACCTGTTTATTGGTTTTCCACAAAATTATACAATGAAATGGACATCAGTGTACTTAAAGTTTGCAATATGTATTTTTTTATCAAAACGTTTTTTTGACGAAATATACAATAAAAAAAAATGTAAACTAACCAGAAATGGCTCAAACAGCAGATCTATAAGGCTTGCTTGAAGCTATTTTCGTTATTTCCAGCTGTATTAATCAAGTTTAGCAACTTAAATCTATTATTAAAATTAGACGCAGATGCATCGACACACACGAATATTCATGTCGTTAATTTATAGTCTCATTATCGTGACACACTAACATACGGGACCATCATCAGAGAATAAAACCAATATAATTATTCCTGAACCCTCTTTATTGACCCAGCACCCACCAACACGATAAGAACAACAAAACTTAACATCTATCACAGCAGTGTCATACAAGATTTTCACAGTACATTATACAAATAATGGGCCATGGCCTCAAGTAAAACGAAGGCGCAATGAGATGACCTTGTAATTTTATGCAATATTCGTTGATTACGTGTTGATAGAAGACAAACTATTGTTGCGACCAAGGTCATTCCATTGACAATTTGTTTATGTATGACCAATGAGGTCTGAGTACACATTTTGCAAAATTTCCTGATAGTTTGCATATCCACATTACTTGTAAACAAGTGGCCAAAAGTTAACACGATAAAACAATTCAATAAATGCTCAACACTTCACAAATCCTTTAACATTTCACATTTAATTTATTATGAATGTATATATATTTTTAACAGAACAATCACTTAAACCTTAGACATTTGTTCATAATATAGTTAATTAAAAAGAATATTTTGTAGAGACAATTATATCATCTTTTATTTAATAGTTGTCATATTGTGTATAAACTATCACATAACAATTAAAAGTACCTAATAAATAACATTATGTCTATAAATATAGAATTATCTATTAAATATAAATTCTTACATTTTGTATTTCTTCCTTATAAAGGTAACTTGGGATTGCTGTTCACTATTATAATAATATTGCAGATTGAATGGTATGAATTATTCACATTATGTTCACCAATACCTAAATGGGAACCAGCCTATAAAGAAAATCATAACACTATAAATATGACTTTGTTTCTCGCAATTTCGCTTGTTTAGAACTGAAACAGACACCCAAAGGACGCTATTTGTGAAATAAAACTAAACATAAAATTACATTACTCAAAATATTATGAATTTACTAAAATAGATTGGTCTGGTGTAACTATTTAGGTACATTTAGTGTTAAATAGGAAACATCAATATATTAAATCATCAAATATTTCATGATTAAACTACTATTAGCCATACACTTCTTATAAATAATAGTTTTACTACTCTTTTTACTTGTAAAACGAATAATTAATTATATAAAGATGTAGCTGCATCAATTGAAATGAGATAGTCATAGTAAATAATCAATTAATCGACTTATATCTTCAGCCGGTAAAATTTCGATGAGTTATGGCACTCGTAAATGAATCTTGTCGTCATCTACTTCTTTCGGCCTTTAGAAGGACACCACACAGATAACTTTTTGGAGGAAGAATTTTGTAAATGATACCAAACAATGTCAGACGTCAAGTTTATTCTACGAATAAAAAATATCTGTTTATTGAAAAATCGGTCCCAAATAAAAGTTCTTAAAAAACCCTACATGGAATAGTGCCTATATTTTTCACATTTATGACCCATTGAAGGATTGAAGTATGTACATAAGGAGATATTATGTTTACTACAACAAAGTATGCATTAAGAAGTTTTTATTTATATAATTTTGAGCCCAATCATTGTAAAAAAAAAGAAAAGGGTAAAGTTAAATTCAAACATTTTTACACCAACCACAGTTTAAATGTTTACAAGTGAACAGAGTATAAAGATCAACATAGTTTATTATTACATTTGTATCATCTATTTATCTATGGAGACCAATGCACATAGAACGTTGTCGAATCTACTTCCAAAAGGGAAGAACTAAATAAATAAACTAATATAGATTTTAAATAAATAATAAAAAATACACAAATCACTAAAAATAAAATAAAATTTGTGATTGTAAATAGCGTAGCGCAGTTGTATTTGATGTAAAAACATAATCGCATCTTGAAACTAGATTTTTTAAATGCGACGTATTGAACAATATCAAGCTTTATGGTTGGTATTAAACATTTGTTACCGCACCGTCCCTATTTTCACGGATATCGTTAGATACTACATATTTCAAGTAATCAAGTATTTATTGCATCCATAATGCACATACACAGGTAGTTAGAAAATACAATTATAGACCCTGTCAGGCACAGCAACATTTAAAATTGGTAGGAGAGAGGAAGGGCGTTTTGTTTAATGTAATGTCAAAATTAATAAAAACAAAGAAAAAATATTTAACAGACTAGGCAGCTGACACCCTGATAAACCTACTGCAATTCAGGCAATTTTGAATCTTAACCTTTTAAACTCACAATTTCTTATGTAGTGAAGACCAATGTCTTAACTTCAAAAGTGAACTGGTATTTATATCCTGAACCAAAATAGACTTATATACAATAAGCTTAGGTTATCTTTTCCTTCACAGCATTCTATGTGCATTAATCCTTGTTAAGCTATTTATATAAAGGAGTTTACAATCACGAGCCGAATTCTTGCGTCTCGTTGTCGATCTCTCCGAACACAAATCCGCCTCTGCCGTCCATCTGCAGGTAGTGGTCGTGGTGCTTCCATAGAGACTTGCGGTGAGATACCGTGAATAGAGATATACCGACCTGTGGAGAAAAAAAATATTATGAGGATTCTTAATTTTATTGTGAGCTGTTGAAGAATCTGTGTTTATGACTGAGTGGAGAAGCGACTTCATTAAAATAACCTCCTCCTTTTTTGAAGTCGGTTAATTATTAAATGAAAACAGCATTTCATTGAAAGCTAATGAGCTATCTATATGAATTTTATATGTGAAACAACATCCTCATTAGAAACAATTTTAAAATTTAATTACACTTAAATTTAAAATAGCTGCTAGCTACTGCGCTTCCTGAAAAGACAAAGATAAAAATAGCTACACACCTCTCTGCAGTATTGGTACATTTGTCCCTCGACATCAACTGAAACTGCGCTGGTACATTCATCCAGGATCGCGAACTGAGGCTCGTGGTAGAACAGACGCGCCATCTATGCAATCACATAAACATTTAACGCATTAGTTTCGCATTGACATCAATACATGGTAATTTTAAAACTGTCTTACTAGATATTAGTGAACTATCGGCTGCATAAAAAATATAAATTTGAATTTGATAGAACAATTTCTTTATCTAACTGATGGTACTAAATATCAAAAGTAGAAAAACGTAGCGTATTCCAGGTACATTCATATCTTATAACTTAACATACTAGTCGAAAACACGCGAATAATATCTTGGAAGTTAAGTCGTACAAGAATGATTATCTTACATCAAAAAAGTTCAAGAAAATTTAATACATTTTACTTGATCTACACAGAATACTACTACATCAACACGTTTCTGTACAACTAGTGAACAGCTTGCTATTACACCAGCTCTCATATCTATGTAACTCACAGCAATTCTCTGTTTCTCCCCCCCGGACAGTACATCCATCCAGTCCTCCACGGCGTCCAGTGCTCCCTCGCGGTTGGTCAGGTACGACAGTTGAACTATCTCCAGGAAGCGATGCAGTTGCTCGTCTGAACGACCTCGTCTCTGCATCTCCTCGCGAGTTTGTGGGTAGATTATCTAAAGATGAACGATTTATGTAATAAAGTAGGTATTGTATTAATGTTATAATATTTGTTATGAGTTTTTACATTGTTTAGATTGCTTACAACATATTTATAAAAGACCACACAAACTAATACGAAAATTATTTACTAATCGAATATTTGTTGGTTAAAGAATAGCATCAATTTATAAACATGTTAGAAAATTATTTGAAAACCTTTATTAATAAATACTGTGTCCATTATATAAAAGGAAAAACAGTATTGTTTCTTTAGTAATCACTAGCTGGGTTATATTTCACTATTGTACATAGACATAGATCATCTTACCTGATCTCTCAATGTTCCCAGCGTCATGTAAGGTCTCTGCGGTACGTAGAAGAGCTTGCCTTTAGGTGGCTTAGTTAGGGTACCTCCGAATATCGGCCATAACTCTCCAAGCTGACGGAACATGGATGACTTGCCGCAACCATTGGGACCGCATACGAGAACGTTTATACCAGAGCTGGAAACAAAATAATACATTTATATTTAGTCTTTGACAATGGTTTAATGTGGTTACTGGTGTGATCATAAAAATGTTATAATACATCAAACTTGTAGATTCACAAAACCAAATATATACACATACAATATATATATCGACGAGCACGGTTGGTGCGGTGGCTGGGCAACTGACTGCCGCGCAACGTGTCGCGGGTTCGATTCCCGCACGGAATAACTCTTTGTGTGATCCACAGATTGTTGTTTAGGGTCTGGGTGTCATGTGTATGTGATATTGTATGTTTGTAAACGCACACACGACAGGAGAAAATCCTAGTGTGGGGCAACGTTTTAAAAAAAATGTATTTGGTAAAAGTTTGGCTTTTTTTTAAGCGGGGAAAATCATCGAATGACTGCTCCCGCCTGGTTGAGGCGGGACTCGGGAGGGAGTGTCAGACTCTTACTGACTAAAAACCACCCCGTTCCTTCTCCTGCACGTCGAGCCGGAGCCCCGGTTACCCGTTAGGTTCTCCGCGACTCAAAAGTTTGGCTTAACACATGTATAAGACTGTGTAAACCAGTATGAAAAAACTATATTTGTATTCTTTTTTCATACCATAAGGTAAATAAGGTAATGGTAAGGACCATAATTTATACTCAAGTCTAAGAGTCATAATGAAGAGTACAAATAAGGAGGTATATACTAACCGGACTTCGAAGGTGAGTTCCTTGATGAGTACGTCACCGTTGGGTGTGACGAGTGGAACTTTGTCGAAACGTATGATTTTGTCTTGGTAGATGATGCGACCGGCGCCCGGCGCTAGTATAGCTGGGATTTCTGAGAGGAGAGAAACGCATAACGATTGTAGTTTAATGCAAATTGTTTCCTTGTATCTATCTTTCTTCTACAATTCATAATAATCAGTTCACTAAACTGAAAAATGAAGTGGCAAAAATCTTGTCAATAAGTAAAAGAATACAGAAGTAAGACTTAAGTACTCTAAGATTTAACTCGTCGAGTACCAGTTTTATAGACACAATTAAAGAACAATAGGTCGCGGTCACCGGTGACCGCTTGGTATTTCACAGTTTAAATCAGATTAGGCATAATGCCTCCTATTTTCCATGACCCAATATCATGTACATATTTTATCACACATACTTCCATTTTTTTTAAATCGTCCCTATCATCCTTTCTTTATTTCCCAATTCTCCAACGCACAATTCAAACAATCCAGCAGCTGTAGCCAAATGCCATTTAGCGCTTGTCTACATGTAGAATAGAAAACAAAATTATATGGAATTGACATAAATTTTGACACTTGCCAGTGTCATCCCCATACATTTTGATTTCTACTCTCTCTGTAGACAAGCGTTAAAGTGGCGTTTGGCTAAAGGCCCTGAATACACAATACTTCGGTTTCCCTTTAATGTGAAGTAGAACTCACCGCTTCCATTCTGCGAGTTCCTATCAACCATGGTCCTGGTATAGTTTCCTTTGTTAACATCATCCAGTACGGTGCGTAGTTGGGTGACGCGTGACGTCAGCCCCGCTAGTTTGCTGAGCTCGCGGCCTGACAGTACGAGCCGGCCGATACCTTCCGCCATTTTCACTAACATACGGCCGTATGTGTAGTAGTGCTGTGGAGCAATTTGAGTAATTTTTAGGAATTTGTGGTCTAATCCTTACTAATATTATAAATCGGAAAGTGAGTTTGTTTGTTTGTTTATTTGTTCCGCTTTCACGCCGTAACTACTAAACAGATTGCTTTGAATTTTTACAGACGTAAAGTTAGAAGTCCGGATTAAATAATAGAATACTTTTTATCTCGGAAAAATGTGATATTCCCGAGGGAAAACAAAAGTATTGGTATGGATGGCGCTGTGTGTATTGGTATGTTATTACGTCACAGGCTACTTTTTTCCTTTTGTGACGCGAGCGAAGCCGCGGGTAAAAGCTAGTATAAGCTAGCACATAATGTGTAGTGTTAGAGTGTATAATATAGTTGTGTATATAGTGACTGCATGGTTAGCGCGGTGGCTGGATAGCTGACTACCGTGCAACATGCCTCAGGTTCGATTCATACACGAAATAACTCTTTGTGTAATCCACAAATTGTTTTTACGGGTCGGGTCTGGGTGTCATGTGTATGTAAACTTATGTTTGTAAACGCACCCACGATACAGGAGAAAATAATAAAGTGGGGCAACGTTTTTTTTTTCATTTTAGGTCCAATTTTTAGAGGAAATAGGTAATTGTATTAAACATAACATTACACAATTTTAATCTAATTCAATATACTTAGGTAGCGCTCTGCCCAAGCAACAGCTTGTTTAACTGGGATAACTTGACATTAGCAAATATTCGAGAGGTCAATAGAACAATAACCTATAAGCGCCGCTTTCAACGCCCAAGCTCTTATTAGAAGTCCCTTTGTAATACCCCTGGCTGTTATAGAAACATATTACATTTTCCTTCTGAAAATAAAGTACCTCAAAAATATAAAAGAAAATACATAACATCACGCCTTTTATCCCCGAAGGGGTAGTCAGAAGTCATGAGAGGTGTACACAGAAGTCACACCCACTTTTCACTATTTATGTTATGAGTCCCATGTAATAGGGGGGGGGGGGTGAGCCTATTTCCAGACTCCGTGCTACTACTGAGATTTTTTTTAAAACCCAGTAATACTTTGCCCGACCCGGGAATCGAACCCGAGACCCCTTGCCCGGCAGTCGCACTTGCGACCAGTCAGCCAACGAGGCAGTCATAAAAGAAAATATTTACCTTGAATCTATCATTCTCAGTGCCCGTAGTAAGCAAATTGTGGTCGACGGCGAAGAATGGACGAGACACAGCGTAGAAACCGACGGTAATAGCCACATCTGTAACAAACACACATACATACATACATACCGTGGTCAGTATTGCATAACATACTACATTAACTTATACGGTCTTTAGTTACTTACACACCGTCACTTATAAGTAACATGTAATATAATATATGATAATGTTACGTATACAAAAAATATGTTGAATTACATTTGGTTAATATACGGAAAAATATTATTAGATATAGAGGTGTCTGGCAAAAAAGTAGACTATGTTAAAACGTTATTCCAGATATAATCTATTTCTGAGCCAAGTTTCATATAGTTCCGTTTTTGCGTGAAAGTGACACAAACAAACATATATATATATACAATCTCGTATATTTTAGCAATTACACCTATTATAAGATATAGTAGGTCATTAATTCTAACAGTTTAATTCCATTTATTATGTAACTATGTATAATGAATCTAAAGGGGTCGCAAGTACCCGTTATTTATAGTAGTTACGTATCATGAAAAAAATTAAAGAACGCAATTTTTATCCTCATGTATTGCGATTTAGACTGGAAACGTAATATCTTTATTGCTTCGTCATTCTAATATCTATTTAAATGTAGGTCAGTAACTATAGTAGCGGCACGAATGGCTAATGGGGATGATGACAGGGTATGAAAATTAAAAATATAATTAGTCCGTAAGTTAGGTAATGAAAAAATATTAGACACGTATTTTTTTATTTTGTCGTATAATAAAACAATACTTAGATAAAACGAATCAAAGTTCAGGAGTGGGGGCTAAAACGTCATTCCTTAGTATAAAATGTACTGAGAAGTGACGTCACGCGACATTTCAAATCAATATATCTTCGAAACTATTCGTTTCTGTGCGAAAATAAAAAATACGTGTCTAATGTTTTTAAATAATCTATCAGACGGACATTAAAATAAAAATTAGTCGTCTACCCTATTGTAACCCTCATTAAGGTTGAATAAAGAAAAAAACATTGACAACTAAAAATAAAATGCGAAATAGCCTGTTTGAAGTGAAGTCTTCAATGATCCTTATTTTTAAACTATACACGACGGCAATTGGTTTGTATTTTGAAACGAGCTGTTTAAGAGCAACTTATTCGAACAGACACACGATTTCACACGAGTAACATGGCAAAAGGCTATTCTTTCATCATGCATATTATACGCATAACGCATAACATCACGCCTTTCATCCCCGAAGGGGTAGGCAGAGGTGCACATTATGCCACTGTACAATATAACACCCACTTTTCACTATTTATGTCATGAGTCCCATGTAATAGGGGGTGAGCCTATTGCCATATACCGGGCACAATTCCAGACTCCGTGCTACTACTGAGATTTTTTTAAAACCCAGTAATACTTTGCCCGACCCGGGAATCGAACCCGAGACCCCTTGCCCGGCAGTCGCATTTGTGACCACTCGGCCAACGAGGCATTTACTGAAGAACGAGAGACTGTGTAAACTAGTATGAAAAAACTATATTTGTATTCTTCACACTCGGCCAAAGAGGCAGTATATTATACCTACTATGTTTATTCTACACTATAATCCAGTACATCTCTAATTTCATTCAAATTCGTTCAGCAATTTGTGCGTGAATGTGTAAGAAACAATGATAAACCCACACAAACGTTCACATGTATAATATTAGTATGATAGCGGTACTTACATTTAGCAATGATGTTGTCAATGAATCCCATGCCGACTCTGAAGTTGAGGAAGTTGCGCAGATGCCTGGTCAGCTTGTAGAAGCTGGCGAGCAGCGTCAGTTGCTCCCGGTGGTTGCCCTGGGAATTTTACATTTCGATAAATATAATTTAAATTTAAAACAAGCCTTTATATATATAGCTTAGCATTGTCATGATCATGCAAACTAAATAATAATATGTATACAAAATTTCATTTCATTCATTGAAGATACCTGCTGTAGCCAAATACCATTTAGCGCTTGTCTACATGTAGAATAGAAAACCAAATTAACTCGACGTAAATTTTGACACTTTTCAGTGTCATCCCCATACATTTTAATTTCTACTCTCTCTGTAGACAAGCGCTAAAGTGGCGTTTGGTTAAAGGCACTGTTTCGAAATATTGTTGCAAGATTCCGCTTCATATACGTTTGTATTTGCATGTATGAAGGAAATAGAAACTTGTAAATGTATCAGATACATAATTGGCGTTATATCAAACACGTGTGAAAAATAAATGAATCACAAGATACATTTTCAAACACAAAAAAGTAATTAACACTTTTTTTTAAAGTACTCACAGTTTTTATTGTTGTTACCTCTTTTATACAAATATCAATGTTTTTTAATATGTATAAAACAGTCGGGTAAAAAACCTACTCAATTACTATATTATTTATGTTAATTTTATGGCAAATTTCAAATGTTTATGTTGTTACGCTTATTTTAATTCAATATACTGTGGGAAAATTACATAAATTAAACAGTAATTCAAAAGGGTACTATTGTTATATTTTAAATATCATGTATCCATGCTGTTTATTTGCATGGTCAAAGATAATTCTGTTGTTTCGAATCTTTTTCTGATATTATTTTCATATTATAACTTTCGTGAGACATAGTATATAATAATTAACGTTATATTCATCATAATGTCCTTACAATATCCTTTTTACTTTCTTTTTTTTATAGAGGCTTGGCCCACACACATAACATTCATAGATAATAATAAACTAATCTCTGTTATAACCTGTACAAGTGACATGTTTACCCCTCGACTGTCGATCGACCATCTCCTGGTCGATATCTAATCGTGCTCATCTGTCGGACGCCAGCTGCTGGTCGATCGTTGCCGCCGTATTTTAATTACAAAAATAAGCGTTGGAATGTGTATCTTTACTGTTCTAACTTGCAAAACATACGGGGAATACGACAAGGATAGAATATACCACCACATGTTAAACAAATTCCCGCCGGTAACATGAGTATTGTTTAGTCTATGCGGAGCCGTTTGTAGTCGTGTGGTTGTGTTATAGACCCAAGTGTTTTTATGGTTTGAAGGTGTTTTTAAGTGAAATTGGACAATATATTGTTTACTATCATGGAAGGGTAAACAATAAACAGTTTTTAATTCATGACTTGAGTGTCAGACAAAGATTTAGGGTAGAAATTAATCTGTTTATAAACATCGTCACCCATATCGCGCGTCACCGCATTACATTTTGAGTTGTTTTGCATTTAAAATACTACTGTAACAGCCAAATGTAATGAATGACATCAATAATACATCTAACTGCATACGTACACAGCATTTAATTTGAATATCTTCGATAAGATTTTGCGTAAAGAATAAAACTAAAATACGCAACAACGGGCTCAAGGTCATCGGCCTCGGCAAATCGCCATTTTAGTTCCATAATTGGATAAGTATGGATAAAACTTTTGAGTGGATTTGGATTTCTATTTCGAGTATTGTAATATTTTTGTGTTATCTTATTAGATATTGTTTGTTGCGTGCATTTTTGTTTTGTCTTTTATTAGTATTTTTTTAAAACGTGCACGTGCTGTTTTGTTTCCGTCCATACTATGTTAGCTTCCTTACTACTTTTTGTAGAGAAATTGTTTGTTTTAGATTTTAATTTTTGAATGATTTTGATATTTAGTTGCTTAATTATTATATTTTTTGATGAGTAAATATTATCAAATTGTAGAATATAAATTAATATTGGAAAAACTTCTAACAAAATTTGCTCTGTGATGCAAAGTTTGGGAGCACGTTTTTTAGCGCTTATTTTCAAGTGCTTAGTTTTTTGTTCAACACTTGTAAAGTATACATGTCTAACAGCTAAACCTTTGTTTGTAATAAGATTACGAACCCAACTACAGAATGAGTCTTTGTTTTTTGCCACTTGGCCCACAGTGTTCTCAGAATTGAAGTATAAACATGACCCTTTTTTTGTGTTGCGCTCAGGTAGCAGAAACGACGCATGTGATTGTTACGCTTGTAGTGTAAACAAACAGTATGAAAGCGTGTTTTTTTTAATGGATTATGATTCAACAGTATATTTTTTTGTAAATAAAATAAAAGTAATTTGAGAAAATTGATTAATTTTTTAATACCATGCAAAATATTTTCTTACAACGACTTTCTCCACTTTCTCCATCTTTTGCCTTAGAATTAACAATATATCATTTGGTAAAATCATCATGAATTATACTCACGATGTAGCCTATAAACTACAGATTATGAATACATAAACTTAATATACATCTTTCATACAATATTTTGGAGATATCGTCATTTTAATGGGCCGCGGCGATTTCGCGAGAGCCCACCCACGATGACGTAAACATATCCGCCATATTGCGAAATTTTGCGTCGACAGTGGAGGGGATATCGCGCGAATTAAAAATGAATTTTCTTTTTTCTTCTTCGGTTTTTTTCATTTTTATCTTTATTTACATTACCATGACTACATAGTATATAAAAAAGTCGCTATTCGCCTATGTATGCTTAGATCTTTAAAACTACGCAACTGATTCAGATGTGGTTTTTTTTAATATATATCGTGCTTCTTATGTTTATATTTGGTTTATATGTGTAATACATGCATATTGCACCCGTGTGAAGCAGCGGCGGGTCCCTAGTCCTTACTTCCTTACTAATATTATAAATCGGAAAGTGAGTTTGTTTGTTCCACTTTCACGCCGTAACTACTAAACCGATTGCTTTGAATTTTTGCAGATGTGAAGTTAGAAGTCTGGATTAAATAATAGGGTACTTTTTATCCCGGAAAAATTGATATTCTCGAGGGAAAACGAAATTATTGGTATAAATGGCGCTGTGTGTATTGGTAAATGTCACATAGGCTACTTTTTATCCTTTTGTGACGCGAGCGAGGCCGCGGGTAAAAGCTAGTTTATAATAAATTAAAATTGTAAGATGACTTACTTGGTAGAAGGCGACCTCTTCCGAATATGTGATCAGCCTAGAGTTCACGTATCTGAATTCTCCTTCCAATTTCTGCTCATGAACCGTCATCTTAGCTGGAAGAAGAGAAAATATGACGTCATTAAAAATATAAATTAATGAGTTTTTTTTTGTAACGTTCTACTTTTAAAATTTAACTAAACTTACATAGTATTTTTTTTAATATGGAGATTTCAAGACTCATTACTGCTAAGTAGAGTATATCAAAGATAATTACTTGAGAAATTTGCAGTAAATAAATACTATATTTAGTCTTTAGTGAAGTTAGCTTAATTGTACACACATTTTAAAATATTTTTGACAAATATTTCAATTAATTACCTGTAGGTCTTCTGAGGTATGTAAGGAACACTCCAGACAAGAGTAGGTAAGCCATCATGATACCAGGGGTCTGGAAAATAAACACATACATTGAAATTACTAGTTACTAGCAAGAAATAAATTATAATTTACACGGAAAAAGATGATTCTAGATTGAAACTAGACAATGGCGTGGGTGTTCATAGTGTAACATGTGTTAGTGGAGAGAAAATCCTACTGTGGATCAACATTAAAAAAAACTTTGATAAAATAAAGTTAAGGTTTGTATACTGAATCTGCCAATCTGCAGCTGTATCAAATGCCATCTAGCGCTTGTAGAATAGAGAATATTTATTTATATATATATATATATATATATATATTTTATATACATATTATGGTTTACACATTATTATTATTATTTTAAAGTCATTAAATTGTACACTAGACGACCCATATCTGTCTCCTATTACAGCTCCATCCAAAGGTTGTCTGGAAGAGATCGCCTTGTGCGATAAGACCGCCCATTGTGCACTATATCAATTGTTTGTTGTCCTTTATGTTTATGTGGTGTACAATAAAGAATATTATTATTATTATTATATTATTAATAGAAAACCAAATTATATGGAATTGACATACATTTTGATTTCTACTCTCTCTGTAGACAAGCGCTAAAGTGGCGTTTTGCTAAAGGCCCTGGCTTGAAGAAGTGTATCGCTACACAATAGCCACAATAGGTCGGCCAATTGTGTTCTGTACGGACATTGACAATTCAAGCAGTAAATACACTTCATTACTTTATTCACTGTAAAAATTGCATCTATAGACTATTAGGTATAGAATGATTATTAATTTTTTTAACTGTGACATCTTACTACAGAGCAGCTTTTTTACCCTCCTACTGTTTTCTGTGCAAATTCTGTAGCTATAAGGATGATATCAATGTTAAATAATGTGTGATATTATTGACCTGTATACAATTGGCCAAAGATTTTTTAACGTTAAATATTTAACTCTAAAGAGGGCGCGCTATGCGCATTTTACCGCCTCAGCTAAAAAATCGTTAACAATTTTCAAGACTTGCACTTTTTAGTATTTTTTTTTCGGCTTTTAGTTTCGTCAGCAATTCGCGACTAAAAGTTTGATAATTCGCGCTAGGTCCCGGTTGACAAGATATTTGTCAAGACCAGGTTTCTGATGTTTCCAAAAGGCGCCTCCACTCTAGGGTTAATGACGTTAACCATTAACTTAATGTACGTTACTCACCGAAGCTCCCAAGTTAACAGTCAACCTGTACAAGTAAATACCGATATCCAGCATCGGTTTGCTGATATTACTGTACAGGTCTACAACTGTATCGCAGAACTTCTCAATGTCTGTCGTCAGCAGCTGGTCAGCATTCGATATCCTATTGTCCAGGTTTGATACTTGGTAGTAGGTGAAGCCCCTGTAAGGATAAATTGGATGATACCATTATTCATAGTTCTGTGTAGAGGACTGACCGATAGACTGACACTTTGTATTTTTTTGGATTTCCAAAGTGCCTTCTTGGTCTAATAGAAATTTAATTATTTTGACTTAATAAATATCGTTTTTATAACTTCAGGAATCTGGTAGACTGTGGATCGTTAGATATAATATGATGTTTATTTATTTATGCTAAAAATAGTATAAATGAATCCCTATATCCCTTGGTCACGCCATGACGCGTGAACCGATTTTACTATTTCTTTTTGTTATGTTTGTTATTGTCAGGAGAAGATTCTTATGACAGAAAAAAATCCCTGAAAAACCTACGGGAATGGAGAAAACGGGATTGCATTCGAAGTAGCAGGCAGAAGCTAGTTATAAGTTATATCATAAAATAGATATACAATATGAATAAATAAACTATAGAAATTCCATTAAACAAAATACAAGCCTTCAAAGTTAAATATTACAAAGTATGTAGTTACTATGTTACAAAATGTGTTTATTTTATTGCCATAGAGCCATACACGAGTTGTTACTAAAATATAGGTATATTTTGTGAGATCTGTGATAAAAAAGGTGAATTTTAAACAACATAAGCAAAGCGCATTATTTTGTTTTGAATTTAATTCAAGATATTTTGCGTCTCAACTTTTTTGCATATTCAGTCATTCAGATCAGATACCTCCTGTAACAATTTCTCTATGGGTTTAGGAATCTGTATAATAACAAGGTTAGGTAACAAGTTGATAAGAATAATATATCAGTTGGGTATTATAATTAGGTAATTATAGGTTTTATAATTGATATCGGTGTTATTATTGAAATTGGACTTTAAATTCTCAATAAAAGATATCGGAGGAAACGGCTAAGCCTTAGTCTGCGGAAATAAAGTATTTAATGAAATTATAAATACTTTTTATCATACATCTTTTGCATGTTATTCTTTGCAGGGGTCATTTAGAGGTGATCGTGAAACACACATTTTTTGCACTTAGATATAGTTTATTTTTTAAGGGGGAAAAACATCGAATGACTGCTGCCGCCTGGGTGAGGCGGGAGGGAGTGTCAGACTCTTACTGACTAAAAACCACCCCGTTCCTACTCTTGCACTTCGAGCTGGAGCCCCGGCAACCCGTTAGGTTCTCCTATCTATGCCCCGGCAATCCGTGGTACTTAGATAAATTTTGCAAATTTTTTTCACTTAAAATGAAGCAGGCAAAGTTTCTCACTTCATAAATATCATTTGTATTTATATATTAAATTGATTTTAGTCCTTGGCCACTTATCACAAACATTTCGGAGGTCACTTATTATTAGATAAAAAACATAATATAAATGTACAATTATGAGGAGTTAACATTACATTGATATCTATTCAATGGCTATCGTAATACTTTAAGAGGTTTCCTTGCGACAGAGATAATGCATATCAGACATTTATGAGTACAGCCATAACAATAAACGTATGAGCAATTGCAAAGATGAGTCTGGTTATTTTTGAATAATTTTGAACTATCATTTGGTTTATAGAGTCGAAAATACATTAGAAGTTTAAAATAAAAAAGCCGTAAGATTTTATTAAATTGGGCAGAGAATTTCAATGTTAGAGTTGGAGAAGAAGGCCAATCTTTCTCCTAGCTATTTCTCAATCAGTTGTGAGGTGGGCACTACTAAGTCTCAACCAGTTTTGGCTGAACATCAGTATTTTGCATAGACTGTCAGTTCTTCACTTCACTTCAGTCTTTCATCTATGTCTAGACAAAAAGACCGATCCGTAAAAACATTCTGTTGCCACGTGAAGACAGGCCAATAAACGCACTTTTGTATTACCAAGATCATTAAAGATATACAGTATACCTGTATAGTCAATGTCAATTAGGTACTTTATAAGTCCATATGCACCCAAGTTAAAAGTACTTGCATTCATTAGTATCTTACATTGAAGAATGTAGATACATACATATGTTTGTATATGTATTATGTGGTCAATTGCAATACAAATATGACTGGTTTATCTGGATACTAGACAATGGAACAGTTTTATCATTAAAGCGATCGGCCGATAGCATTTATGTGTATCAAATATTTGTTTCATTTTATGTAGCTTATATACACATATTGAACTATTATATAGAACTAGATAGAATGGTTAATATATATATGGGCGAAACTGCAGGAGTTCGCCCATGTCATTAAAACTTTCAGGGATACTAAAAACCTTGCTCAAGAATCACTTTATCCACTGTTTATAATCGCATAAAATCAATTCAGTAGTTTTTGAGTTCGTCGCAAACCGACAGACGCGTCGAGCAACTTGGTTTTATAATACTACTCATTACTTTGGCATTGGAATTATGGCCGATCAACAACGTCATTTGAACTCTGTAAAGTGCCCTCACTACTTGAAAACATCAAGTTCATTAACAATACATACATTGTTTTATTTCGTAGCTTTAATGAATTATTATTGAACAATATCAACTGTTTAAGAGTTCATTTATCGTGATAGATATCATGTAATTAAGAAGTGATAAGTGATACGACTTTTTTAATTGTAGGTATATTTACTTCCAATGCCATGGGGATAAGATTTGTTCAATGAAATAAATTAATATTTTAGATAGATAAATAATGTATTTAGATTATATTTCAAATACAAATTGAGACTGTGTTCGAGTGGAATTTACGGAGAACAGTGACAATTTTTCTTTCGAGATGTGTATAAAGTATATTTATCTATACCGTTTTTTTGACCCCAAGGTGGGAAATCCTCGTAGAGCCTCCTCCCCCTACTCTATACACTCACCTTTATAGGTGTTCATGTGTTGCTACTGAATATAATACCCATTTTTTTGTCAAATATGAGCTCCCAACCGGTCTATCTGGAAGTCATTGGGAGAAACCTATATTCTGCCGTGGACGTCTAGTAGCTGTTACCTATGAAGATGACGATGAGCCCTAAGTAGTACGAGGGGATCATAATACCATAATATAACGTAGAAATGCCCTACAGCTTTCAAAATTTTAACAGTTTTTCTTTTGAAGAAAACGTTGCCCCACATTAGGATTTTCTCCTGTGTCGTGGGTGCGTTTACAAACATACAAGTTCACATACACAATGACACCCAGACCCGAAACAACGATTTGTGGATCACACAAAGTATCGTTACGTGCGGGAATCGAACCTGCGACACGTTGCACGGCAGCCAGTTGCCCAGCCACCGCACCAACCGTGCGGTCGAACTTCTACCGACTCTTTTACACAACAATAAATATTACAAACATTATTTGCAAAGAAATAGCAATAATAATAACCTTGTTCGGAACGTCATAAGCTAGATCATGCAAACAATGACATGCATGATTTTATAGTCCAAAGTCGACGGGCAAAGTCGAAAGTAAAGAATAAAGTATGTCCAATGGTCATCGACTCCAATCTTAATTACAAAATTGGTACGAGTCATCCGGTTATTACGTATAAGCTGTACAACTTGGGGCGATGTCTTAAGCTAATAAAATCTTAATTCTTGTATTGAATATTCGAAAATAAGACATTTTGCTTATACATTTCGATCAAGATATTTTGATAATAAATATCGTGAGACATACTAAATTAACTGTCGGCGATGTTGCGCAGCCTACTGACGTAGGCTCGCCGCGACCGCAAATGCTGTTCATGAGGAAGCACCCCACTGTGGTTCGAAACCAGTAGAGCTTTTCTCAGTATATTCACGTGAGTAACCCACGATATTTAGTTAATTAAGATATTTGAACTAAAATTAACTAAAAATCGCGAACTAAGATATTTTGCTTTCGAATCAGGTTATAGATTTTCTCAATCAAATTCACACCTATCATTGTTTCTTTGAAGTGTTACTTTATTATTTACTTAAAAATAATAATCCAAAGCAAGCTTCTATGTTTCTGCTTAAAATAAAAATAGACCAAAGGAGGCTTCTATATTTCTATTTGAAGAATTAACTGTTTAGGCGTGGTATAACTTTGTGTAGGACCTCTGTGTTTAGAATTTCTTTATCTCTAGCATTCCGGTTATAAGTCTTCCAAATGACCTTACTAAATTTGGCTAACTAGCCGCAAATCCTGATATCATTATGTAAAACAGATTTTGTACTAAGAATTAATTCTAAAATACAATTCATATATTAATAGTTATTACAATACAAAGTCAGACCGCTATTTGAAATTATAATTAATTATTAGAGGTGTAGGTATTTCAAAAGCATTTTATTTTAAAGTTTAATTAATATTTTTTCTGTCTAAAGTGGTAAACTCAAATATAACTAAACTAAAAAATGAATTATAATTTTATCAGATACAGCAAATATTTCGACTATTACAATAAAAGTTCTCTCCATTACATATTTGGGATATATTTGCAATGGTTAGTGAATGACTGTCTCGTTGGCCGAGTGGTCGCAAAGTACGACTGCCGGGCCAGGGTTCGATTCCCGGGAGGGGAAAGTAATACTGGGTTTTTTAAAATAATTCTCAAAGTTCAGTTACTACTGAAAATTCCAGACTCCGTGCTACTGCACGGAGTCTGGAATTTTACCCAGTATGTGGCAATAGGCTCAACCCCTATTATATGGAACTCATAACATAAATACTGAAAAGTGGGTGTTACATTGTACAGTGGCATAATGTGCACCTCTGCCTACCCCTTCGGGGATAAAAGGCGTGATGTTATGTTTGGTCAGTGAATGAGTAACTACAATATTTATATATATTTTATCAGACGGAAGTATCTACACTCAGCGTTTGCAAATATTATTTATGATCTAATAGATATATGGAACAAGGTCACAGCTAGTAGAAGTACCTTGTATTTGTATAGTCTGTGGTTTTGTAGCCTTCCGATACTACATAAATAAGGAGAAAAAAAAACTATTTTTTGTCACACATCTCTACAGTACAGAGTAATAAGAAAATAGATTCTGGTAGCGGCTTAAAATGTGTGGATTTCCAATGTATAATCTATCTCCGTGCGTTTAATTTAGATCCATTCAATAGTTTATTGCATAAAGAAGTAACACACACATCCGCACTAACTTTGCCTTTATACTATTAGTAAGAAAAGAAGTTGACAGTGTGATGTGTGTTCATGAACAAGAGCCCCATTGTGACATGTAAATAGAGCTTTTCAAGTTAGTAAGTCGTTATTTTCAATGAAATTAGTACATCTCACGATAGTTTTTTTATAGAGAGGGCTTAGCACAAGTTTGTAATGCGTCTAACGAGATTGATACGAGACAGCGTTTGTTTCTCTGATTGGCTGGCTCCAATAAACCAACCAATCAGCGCTGAACACGACCAAACCCATACTAAACCCTCAAAAAAGTATTTACTAAATATATTATAATACTTACTTCAAGTACTGTTGGTACAAAAACAGGGTCAAATTGGTCCTAAGACGTAACTTCAGTTCTCCTATACTCCATTTCAGTGCATTGTTTACTAACGATATCTGAAACAAAAAGATAATTCTGTAATATTGTCGGTACTAAGTCATTGTACCTACTTATAAACAAATAATGATAATGTATTGTTCTAATAATAGCCAATGACGTTGGATATGCAATAATAAGTTGGCTAAAAACTACAGTTAAAAACAGATTCCGCGCTAGTGCGGCTAGGGTCTTAAAGGCAGATGGCGCTTGCATCGCGTTTACAAAGTTACATTGACAATAAATAATTGTTTAATTGACTGGACTTTGCATCGTCGTAAGATTCGATTCGTCGCAGGGGATGTAAAATATTTTATTTTGTAGCGTGAACTCTGAATGATTTTAATAATTAACTACAATTTTTAACCAAGATTAAAAGTAGTTTTTTTTTATTGTACTGACTTAAAATATAAATTATTTTTCATATAAATCACGACTAATATACCTTTTGTATAATATTTCATGCAGAAGTTATATAGAAAATTGCAACGGTTTTTCTTAATAAATTAGCTTTAATTAATTGGAAATAGCTGAAATATTAACTGTTCTTGTAGTATTAAAATGAGTAAAGCTGTATGTAAAAAACAAACAAATCATAAAAAAATACTAACGACAGGCATGGCAATGAAGAATTGTGTTAATAACCTTCTAAACTCCTTATGATTCATTGTGATGATGGATCTGAAACAATTATTATGTAATTAGTAACATATCAATGTATAATCTGCCCGGTCTCCAAGCGGTTACCGGTGACCACTCTCTACTTATTCCATTATAGACCTTATTTTCGATGTTTAGAGACTACTTTTGTATGAAAAAATGTTGTAGATATTTCATAATCGGATATTAAGATGTTTTATAATACATATAAGGGGTTAAACGAGCGGTTCACCTGATGGCAAGCGATTACCGCCGCTCATAGACGCCATGTAACACAGAAAAAGTTAAAGGTGCGTTGCTGATTTTTGAAAGAGTGTGTTTGCTTAACTCCCTAAATTGCTGAACATATTTTGACGCATTTTGGTAGACATAAATGGTACTTAAGAGTCAATTTTGGACATATAGAGTAACTGTAGAGAACCTCAGAGTTGATTTTAGAAGCGTTTTCCTAAAAATGATTTGCAGAAACGGGAGATTATGTATTTTCGTATTTACTTACGACCTTAAGACAACTTGGTCAGTCCAATGGTTTAATGTAATTTCATTAATGTATTTAATTACTAAAATTACTTTGTAATTAATGAAAAGAACTGGTATAACAGCATTCGTTTGAACTGTCGTAAAATATTCGTCATAGTTTACATTTAAGTTTAGCATATAATTAACACATTCCAAATGCCACGTGCAGAATTTATGGTATACAAAATTACAATTACATTATACGTATTTTTATCAAAAATAATTATTAAGTATCTTGTGTTCCTTAGTTTCTGTACTTACTACTTAAAATTGGCTCTTTGAGCATAGAGTGAAACTGTTGAGCCTAACTTTAGGTAGGAAGGAAGTATAGGAAGGTTGTATTCGACGAATTTTAAGGATATTCGCCACTCGCCAGTGAAACTCAGCATAAAAACATTTTATATTTTGTTGTCATAAAGATTGTTAGTAGTTATCATTTTATTCCTTAATTTAATCGCAATCTCTTTTCACTTGCACTCTCACAATATCAAGGACAATTTTCGAATTGAAAGATTGGACTTTGCATTGCATTTAGCGAATAACCAGGGTTATTTCGAGGGCGTTTAACGATTATCAGCCTTGTGGCTTTAGCAATACGATAAGTTTTGCGATAAGGTGGACTTTGGTCTGACAGTCAAGCCATTTAATGGAGGAGCAAGGTCCATATCGTACGATATCACAATATAACTAGACATTGGTATACTCTTACGTTGGTGTGTATAGATCATATGTTCAGTGCCAGGTTTGTACCTAGTTGTGTTAGCATGTATACAAGAAATAATGAAAACCAACATTTTAAATTTTTTTTTAGGGCATAAGCCGGTAGACGGTTAACATAGGTACTTATAAATATTGATTAGAAGTATTGTAAAAAAAAGTATGATAAGGGCACGGACCAAGAGTCCGCGGAGAATTATTAATATTTAACATTAAAAAAGCCGGTAAACGAGCAGACGAATCACCTAATGGTAAACAATCGGCGCTGCCTATGGACACCAGTAACACCAGAGGTGCAAGTGCATAACGGCTTTTTGGAGACTAGGAATTAGAGGATTGTTGGGGATTCGGAGATAGGGGAGGGGGTAATTGGGCCTCCGGTAAAATGTAACCTATACGACAAAACACAACGCAAGTATTGTTTCACGTCGGTTTTTCGTGGTACAACTCCGCTGGAGCCGACCCATTCGTCCACACTTTTACATGGTCATAGGAAATCCCAATAAATAATCTTTCGCTAGATTTGTTATGATAGATTGCACAAGTTGAGTCTAAAGAATTTCCTCTACAGATCCTATAAACCAGAAACGGGATAACATCATGAAAGTCTAGTCTGCATCAGTTTTAAACAAACATATCCAGAACTTATTATTTGTATTCATGTGTAATGCAGTTTATTTCTTTATGCTAATTATAATTTTTCTGATACAGGACATAAAGTTAATCTAGTATAAACTTAGCAAGCGACAAGTGATAGTCAATGTGCTAAACTAAAACCACTTTCTCATCATGACTTAACAAGTTAACGAGTTATACATAGCTATCTAGGTATTAAATTTACTTAGATATACACATATCTACACAATTTCGACCTACTAGTAGAAATAAGCATAATCTACCATTATCTATCACGTGTTAAATTTCTTATGATTAGGTACTTTATTTTTATCTTACACAATGAATTATTCAATAGTGTGTTTCGAAAGATATTTACATAACACATACAGTCTGAGTTCACCTACTGACATTAAGGTGTAACCCCGATTGGGTCTGATGGGATTAAACCTTGAAAAATTCGTTAGTACCACCATTTTTAACATTTGAATATTCTGTTTGTATAGACAAAAGTTATAATTGTTATCTTTAGACATATCTTTAAATACTATTTTTAATGTTAGCTTTTTTCGGAAGTGTTTTGTTTACAGCCTGTATACTGTATAGATAGGTATTACCTCATTATTCGGTAGTAGTGCGAATTTTTTTCACTTATGTTCAGTCGTGTCGTGTCACTGAACAAATAATAATGTGTTACATAGGTACATACATTTGACTGACCCTTTTAATCTAATGCTAATTGGCGTTGACGTACGTTTGTGTGTACACAATACACATAGATATTTGTCCGTCTGGGGCGCTCGCCACGGAATCTCCGCAGTCACACACTCTCAACCAAAGTGACTTTCTGTTTTGCAACTTTTACTTTCATTTAACTTCTCTCGGGTGCTATTATGTCAAAAGTAAATAAAGAGTTTTATAGCATAACATCAAGCTTGTTGAAAAGGTAATTCATAGGGTATCTATCATATCATATCTCTGTCAGTTATGTACAAAACTCTCTAAAGCTCCCCTAAAACATAATAGCAAGAGGTTCCTGAGAATTTAAAAAGTAAATAACCTTATTGTTTACTGAAATGTTTTAAATATTTGCCCTACAATGGCTTATTTTTATGTGGTATAATAAAATAAGGTACCTAACCTAATTATGTACTCGTTTATTTATTTTGTCGATCCATATGCCTAGGTATAGATTCCAATGTAAGGGGGAAAAATCATCGAGTGACTGCTCCCACCTGGGTGAGGCGGGAGGGTGTCAGACTCTTACTGACTAAAAACCACCCCGTTCCTTCTCCGGCGCTTCGAGTCGGAGCCACAGTAACCCGTTAGGTTCTCCGCGACTCTAAAGTATATAGTTATACTATGTACTAGTTTATATATTTTAATGTGGAGTGTCACTGTCGATTGAATCCTATAAGGATATCCATATGCCTAGGTATAGATTCCAATGTACATGTTCATAGTCTCGATTTTAAATAGAAACGTCTAACAAATCCGGTTTCGCATAAATACAACAAAGTTATTATGACGTAACGATTTAGTATCGTATCGTATGATACTATAGCGACCAATCACATGGAAAATAGGAGACTTAGGACAGCCGATGGTTTAGTTATGTTTATTTATAGTTAACACTTAAGATTTTAAAATAAGTGACCTTTTGTTATATTTATATTAAAAGTAATATTAAGACTACCTCATTGGCCGAGTGGTCGCAAGGGGTCTCGGGTTCGATTCCCGGGTCGGGCAAAGTATGACTAGATTTTTTTAAGAATTCTCAGTAGTATCACGGAGTCTGGAATTGTGCCCGGTATAGGGCAATAGGCTCACCCCCTATTACATAGGACTCATAACATAAATAGTGAAAACGAGGTGTTACATTGTACAGTGGCATAATGTGCACCTCTGCCTACCCCTTAAATGCGTGATAGGGGATAAAAGGCGTGATGTTATGTTATGTTATTTCGTGAGGCATACTAAGTTAATTATTGTTTTCGGCTTACACGCGACACGCCGCATCGTGTGAGCCTCTAGCATGGCTTGAAACTAGTCGAGTTCCTCGTAAAGTTCATCTGAGAGATCAATCAGGCTCTGGAGCAGGTCTATTAGAGGACCCTACCGGGAGCACCGGGGGGTTTCAGTGAGATAAAAATCCCACAATTTCTAGTCTTTCTTCCCAAAAAGCTAGACGCCTTTTGAAGGTATCCCGGTATATCATAAAAGTCCTACATAGGTAGTCTTTCTGCTGATCTTTTATGATAAGGACGTTATTTTGAATGTCTATTTTTAAAGGGTGAATAAATTACAATTAACTAGATATTCTTTTGTACTTTGAACCTGTTCTTTGCATGATAACTTCATGTTGAATGTGTGAATGGAACATGCAGGGTGCATTTTGTTATAGCATTTATTGCTTTTGAGACATAATGCATTCATAACAGAAAAATATGACATGGAGGACCTCATTTAGGATATTTTATTTTTTATGGGATAAGCCAGTAAACGAGCAGACGGAGCACCAAATGGTAAGCAATCGGCGTCGTCCGGAAGTTACAAATGTGTTACGGGCCTTTTAGGGATTAGGAATTTGATGATTGTTGGGGATTCAGGGAATGGGAAGAATGGGGAGGGGTGGTAATTGGGCCTCCGGTAACCTTACTGACACGACGAAACACAACGTAAGTCTTGTTTCACGTCGGTTTTATGTGAGATCGTGGTATCACTCCGGTCGACCCGGCCTATTCGTGCCGAAGCATGGCTCTTAAAAACCTACTCAGCAGTCAGGATTTTGATATGTATTTTACACACTTTATTCAAAATTATCAAATTACGTTAACATTTGAAAGAGTTTTAGTCAATTTATTAAATAAACGTAATTTATCATTAAGTAACATTTAAAACTTGAAAAATTGAGCAGTAACTAAAAATTTGTTTTTCAAATTCGTTTAAAAATCCAGTAAAGGTGAAATGTCTATCAAATGTCAGTGACAATGGCTTAATAAAATCGATTGTTTTGCATACAATACTGGTCATTATTTGTGTTCTATGTACGTCTATGTGGATGAACTGACTATAAAGAGTTTTTATAGAAAACTAGCAAACCCGGCAAACTCCGTTCCGCCACCAGATTCTTTGCTATTCTTGACTTCGTTTTATGTTACATTCTTTGCTATAAACCTCACGGAGCCCGAGACCTTTCCAACGAATGCAAAACCGTGGGAATTGGTTCGTGCGTTCTGGAGTTATAGCGTCAGGAAGGAAAAAGTTCAGGTAGTTAGTCAACTTTCATAAAATTGAGAGAAATGTTCCATGTGTGGGGAAAACTATTCATTGGTCACTTATTTGATATATTTAATAAGGGAAAATATTATTAGGTGTAGATTGTACAGCTATAACTAGTTACTACTATAAATAATAAATAAATCTTCTACTTAGTTGGTTTCTAAATTATTTAGTAAAATAATAATTTATGGATTCTTTTGGCTACCAACAAAATAATATTTCATTATAATAATAAAATTATATAACATAATTACATAATTACTTTATATCTTTTATTATGCATCATAAAAATAACAGGTTAGTTTATTAATATCATATACCTAATGCAGTAATTTAGAAGAAATAGTGAATTTAAATCTAGTTATTATAATTAACTTATATTATTATAATTCTTAACATATTGTGTTGTGTTTAACAAGTTTATGGTATATTTTTCTCATGTAGAATAAACATTCCAGATAGTAATTAGTATTATGCTCAAATAATCGGTCACCGATGACAAATTTCCAATTATAGACCTTATTTCCGATGTTTAGAGACTACTTTTGTATGAACAAATGTTGTGGATTTTCCATAACTAATTGGGGATTAAGAAGTTAAACTATGCACTCAGACTAACTATAATCTGTGGTTGCAACATTACAGATAACATAGAGACAAGCACTCTATATTGTCCATGAAGCAATTTAACTTTGTTGACTAACTAAAGAGTTCTTAAACCCTTTGTCTGAACATTTAAACAGACACATCATTATTTCTTGCATTCTTTGAACAATTCTAAAGATACATTAGTAACTGTCATGTCTTCTTATTCTATTGTTTTAAATAGTTATTTATTATTATTTAATTATGCTAGTATGACACACAAAGCCAAACATTTTATGTGAAAGCAAATGAATTTATTATTTATATGCGTTCCAATTCATCGTGTCATTGAATGTATTCATATTTTTTACGGATAATGTGATTAAAATGTCTTATTAAAAGAAATGGTGATTTATTATCTGTATGGTATTGTATATTAAATGTCAAATAAGTGTCTATATTTTAGGAACTTAGCAATTTATTCATTGTATAGTACCTCAATGTTATTGAAAATTATAAATTCTAATTTCGGCTACTGTCCGTTCCTTCCTGGTGTTATTTAACTCGTCGAGTACCGGTTTTATAGACACAATTAAAGAACAATAGGTCGCGGTCACCGGTGACCGCTTGGTGTTTGACAGTTTAATTTAGTTTTCAATATTACTTACGTTATATAGTTGAATAAAGGTCGAAAAAATATTTAAAGCATAGATTTGTTAAAAAACCTGTTTTTACTTTTTTATTTCTTAATTATCTTTGTGGAATTAACCTAAATATTATGCTCTTATGTCATCATTCATCAATGCATAAATTAAAAATATTCACTTCATGTATCTTAAGTCAAATGTAGTTTTCCTAAGCAACTTTCCTCATTTCGAATTCAGCTGTACTATAGTAACTTACATTATTTACAACATCCTGTTAGTTTGCTTAAATATACCTATAATAAAATATTGAGTTATCTGTGGTAACTTACCCCTCAACAAGTGTAGTGTGCTGTATAAGCCATAGGTCACACATAGACCTTGATATCAGAGAAAGAGCGACCAGTACCATGAACCCGCTCTCCTTGCACCATAAAGATGGCATCATGATCTTCCATAGTGCACTCAGTTCAGCCAAGAACCGTGCATCAACTTGGGCCTTTGGACTCTTTTTATTTTTCTCTTTTATCATATATTGTATCTGTTCCTCCGGTGAGAGGCGGCTTGATTTGTCATTTTTATGTTTACTGAAAAAAAAACATCAAATGAGATTTCAAATCGTACTTAAAAGTTTGTGCTTTGGAAGTTAAATAACTAGAATTTTTGTGTTGGAAAATGTAATTGGATTAACTTTTATCTAAGTGATAAAATATTTTTCTCATTAAAAATTATCATACAAATATGTAGATAATAAATACTGTTCAGTAATTAGAGTCATTCATTTGATTTTAACAAATACTTAAATACATTATTTGAGCAGGCCAGTTCTTAAAAATTGGTTTGGTAATTTTCCATTGGGTACATTCTCTTTAAGATGCAAATAAGAATAAAATTTTCTAAACTACTTGCTACATTTAACTTTCTTTTGCTTCTAGAAGTAACCAGTTCAATAGCAGTTAAAAGTAGGTATCATGTGCAGTCATTAGAAGCTAATAAACATAGTATTATACTATGTTTCTTAATAATTTGTGATTAAATTTATTATCTGTAGAAATTAGGTACGTAATAGAAAATCTATGGAGATATTAGCTCTACTGACCTTGACTTCAAAGAATTCCTGATTACCCAGGCACTTAGCGCTGCAGAGGCTGCTAACGCGATTTTCACATCAGTCCGTGAGGTAATTTTACTAAAATTCGGCGCCATCACAAAAGCTTATAGAATTAACTTTTAAATAAAAATCAGCATTTATTTTAAATAAACACACATTTAAATAATCACGAGCACGAGCACCAGACACTCATTACACAGTTACACTTCCCCGTTTATTGCGTTAAAATAAATTACTGCTTTCGGAATGTGAAGCAAGAACTCGTCTTGGAGACTTTGAACTATGAATGACAGCTCGCTGTCACTGTCATATGTTCTGTCTGTCATTTGAAGATAGTGTTGTTTACTTTGATATACTTTCTTAATAGTGATTTTACTAAGTTTATTTCACGTTAACCAAAAAATATGAAAAAACATTAAAAAATACATATTTCGCCGTGTGAACTAAATTTTATTTTATTCCTCACATTTTTGTAAAAATCAAATCAAATGTAAAGAACTAACACGGAACTACTTCATAATTATACTGCTCACTGTATGCAAAAGCTAGATGGCATTACTTGTAACTTTTTACATCTTTATCTTTCCTGGGAATGTAGGTAAGTTAGTAACGACTTTAAAAATTTTAGGACTAATAGGATTAAAATTAGGAAGTAATTTAATGGTGTGTGTACAATATTGTTTGCAACGGTTCTTGCCTTTATGTGTATTTGAGATGAATTAACACTACCTACGTACCTATAGTTTATGTATGTAATTCCCCTATTTGTTGTAAAAATGCAATATAATTTAATTAAAAGTAACCGCTTTTCTTCAGTTAAGTATCATTAATTCGTGTACCCAATAGGGGGTGAGTCTAATACTGTATATCATTACGTAGGTATCAGTAGTCTGTATGTTGGGTAAGTGGGTAAGTAGGTACTTACAGTAGCAGTATCTAGTTGTGGTAATAGCACAGACAGAGTCTGTTTTTGAGAAATAATTTTTCACACTAATGACTAAAGTACCTATGACTTTGTGATTACAGAAAGATAATGTAGGGAATAGGTATAAGAATGGTGCCTATCTATTTTTTTGTTGTATGTAGAGGCTAAACTTAGAGTTACCAGTTTGTGTTTTGGTATGTGTATGTGTAGGTAGATTATAATGGAAAAGTTCAGTGTTATTATGATAGTTTTAACGTTATTTTAGTGTTGTGACTAAAGTGGGTAGGTACCTACTTTTCATTTAAATGTTTTAGGCAATGTACCTGTCTAGTGAGGTAGGCAGTGAATCTAATCTGTGTTTTGTGTTAAGTTGTGTCATATTTACTTTAGTAAAAGATCTAAAGGACAAAAAAGAAAGACGAAAAAATTCATTTCAATTTCTTTTATTTTTTTCCAGCACATGATTGTGATTTATTTTCTTAACTTACATTAATTTATTAAATAATTTAACTTAAAAGCTAATCTATTTACAATAAAATTGAGATACTGGTGGGACTTGAGATCAGAGTGTTTTTACTCATCACTGAGTTAATTAGGAACTTAATCTACTTCTTCTACGGTAGGCCCCGAGTGCGCTTGTTGCTGTCCGTATTGTTGGGGTCCAGCTCCCGCACCGTGCATTTTGCTCATGATGGGCGAGCATGTTCTCTGGAGCTCCTTCATCCGATGCTCGTACTCCTCCTTCTCAGCTAGTGTGTTGTTATCCAGCCACTTCAGCGCTTCGTCACACTCGTTCCGCGCTGTCTGCTTGTCTTGGTCACTCAACTTGTCGCCAGCATCATCCAGCGCTTGTTTCACGCTGAAAATGTACGACTCCAGCTGGTTGCGTGCAGAGACCCTCTGTCGCTGGCGCTCATCCTCTTCCTTGTATCGCTCAGCTTCAGATAACATTCTGTCAATCTCAGCCTGTGACAAACGACCCTTGTCGTTCTTGATCACAATGTTCTTGCTGCGCCCGGTGCTATTTCTTTGGCTGATACGTTCAGGATACCGTTCGCGTCTAGGTCAAAGGTGACGTCTATCTTAGGCACTCCTCGTGGTGCAGGTGGAATGCCCGTCAAGTCAAAGCGACCCAGCAAGTTATTGTCCTTCGTCATGGCTCGTTCACCTTCATATACCTGGATGGTTACAGCTGGTTGGTTGTCTGAGTATGTGGTGAACGTTTGCGATTGTTTGCAAGGAATCTTAGCATTGCGCTCGATGATTTTGGTCATAACGCCTCCGGCTGTCTCTATACCAAGTGATAGAGGAGCCACATCTACCAATAGCACGTCTTGGATCTTTGAGTGCTGCTCACCGCTGAGTATAGCTGCCTGCACTGCGGCACCATATGCGACGGCTTCATCTGGATTGATGGATAGGTTTAGTTGCTTGCCACAGAAGAAATTCTGTAGCATGCTCTGGATCTTGGGGATGCGAGTAGAGCCGCCGACCAGTACGACGTCATGGATGGAGCTTTTGTCTAGTTTAGCATCTTTGAGTGCCTTCTCGACGGGTTCAAGGGTGCCACGGAACAAATCAGCATTCAGTTCTTCAAAACGTGCACGAGATACTCTAGTGTAAAAGTCAATGCCTTCGTGTAGAGCATCAATTTCAATAGTTGCTTCTGTGCTGGAAGATAATGTGCGCTTCGCGCGTTCTGCCGCTGTACGCAGCCTGCGGAGAGCGCGTGAGTTGTTTCGCATATCTTTCTTGTATTTCCGCTTGAATCATCGGCTAGAAGTTCACAAGCCGGTTGTCGAAGTCTTCACCACCCAGATGTGTGTCACCGGCTGTCGCCCGTACCTCAAATAGAGAGCCTTCATCGATGGTTAAATGGACACATCAAACGTACCGCCACCAAGATCAAATATTAGCACATTTCGTTCGCCTTTAAGATTTTTGTCAAGACCGTAGGCGAGGGCGGCAGCTGTTGGCTCATTGATGATCCTTAGCACGTTTAGACCAGCAATGGCACCTGCGTCCTTAGTGGCTTGTCGTTGTGAGTCGTTGAAGTATGCCGGAACAGTGATGACAGCATCTCGCACCGAGGTTCCGAGGTATGCTTCTGCAGTCTCCTTCATTTTTGTCAACACCATGCTGCTGATCTCTTCCGGCGCGAACTTCTTAGTTTCTCCCTTAAAGTTAACTTGTATCTTGGGTTTGCCACAGTCGTTAATTACTTTGAAGGGCCAGTGCTGCATGTCCTGTTGGATCTTCGGGTCGTCAAACTTGCGGCCGATGAGTCGTTTGGCATCAAATACTGTGTTGTTGGGATTGAGGGCGACCTGGTTTTTAGCTGCATCTCCGATCAATCGCTCTGTGTCTGTGAACGCGACGTACGACGGAGTAGTTCGGTTGCCTTGGTCATTCGCGATGATTTCCACATTTCCGTGCTGCCACACTCCAACACACGAGTAGGTCGTACCAGATCAATTCCAATAGCTGGCATTTTCTTGATTATATTTCTTCTTTTCTTTATTCACTTGAACAATAAACACTGTGATAATTATTTGCTTTGCGTAAACTTTGTCGGTAGTATTACCGCACTTAACTCTTCTCTTCTCTTCTTGCTTGTGTTTTCAAATACTGAATGATTTGCCGCGCTTGCCGGCTCCTTATATACTCGGCCAATAGCGTTCCAGAACAATCTAGAACTTACACGAAGCACCAATCAGGAACGTTCTACAAATGGATATACTTGAAGCTTTATTTTTGTCGACCAATCAGCGTTCAAGACAGAGATGGGACTATGAGTTTTAAAGCGAGATAGCAATAAAAGGTAATACCAGCCAATAAAAACTCCCTGTTTCCGTGGTGAATATGTTAACGGTTTTATTCTTGCTAAGTTTGATACAGAGACGTACTTTACAGTAGAGATGTACTTTATTGATAATATTTTGCTGAGTGACCTATAGTGAATAGTTCAGAGCAGTGTTTATATACTTCTTATGTAAGATATTTTTGTTTTTCGTTTCAGGTTTTTGAAGGTATAATAAAGACATTTTTTTTTCAGCTTTTAAATCTGGTGTGTATTAGAACCATGACAATTTTCATAATAGACATAAGGTCTTACGGTTGTAACTAACAACCGTAACATCACAGTTAAGTGCGTTAACCTCAGTGACACTCAAAGTTAATTATAAGTTAATGGAATAACTCCTATAAAATCTAAAAAAGCGAATGCCGTCATAAGGTGGTTAAATGTATTATGTAAATAATTAGTTACTGTTACTATTTAGGTTACTGTTTTTACTGTTACTGTTTTTTTTTTATTTTACAATAATATAAAGCTATTGTTTTATTCAGTTTACAATATAATCTTATGTTAATATTCCAATTAATTAATTTAATTTTGGATCTTAAGGCGTGGCGGTGGAAAATATTCCACTGGGGAAAATTATGTGCAGTTACTAGCCACACTGTCTACTTTTATCGATTCTAGAACATTCTAAATTATACTGTTGTCTCGCAAAATATATGTTCGGTCTCTTTCATACGTCAAGGTTTTGCGGACGATTATTCTAGAAAATAAATTCAATACATTATCGCCATCACGCTCTTTCTCATAGCTCTGTCTCTCACACTGCGGCAAAGAACATTCTAGAACGGTTACCCGACCGTTGAGAGAGCTATATTTGTTTCTCCAACCGGTTGTTGTGTTATCAGACCTTTTGAATTCATCCGTATAATAAAGTGGGTTGAGGGGACTGCATCTGACGCAATGGCTATATAAACTGAAACGCGGGGGGGATTCTTTGAGATACCTTTTCCAAGTCTAGTGGTGAGGTTCGGTTATTACCATGTATTTTAGGATTGAGTAGTGGTAGGACCAGTCAGGCCCTTTGAAATGTAGGCTCATACCAAGTAACAAAATAGTTTTAAAAATGTATAATATATATACGGAGTATAGCTAAAGAGGTGGCAAGTCCCGTTAGCGCATAAAATGGCGGAGTCATCGCCCGGTTGACGAGTACTGCGTAGATCCTCTTAATTTTGATTGTATAAAGCAGGGGAAGACGTTTTTTTAAGGAATAAGATGTAAGGTAAGGTATTACTTTATTATATTTTTGTTTTTATTTCGTAAATTTTTGTATACTATTGGCAAAATTTGAATTTCTTTGTAATTGCGTCACAGAACGCCATGATGTGGTTGTGTTAGACTTTTAAGTTTCCAAAAACTGTTATTACTTTTTGATTATTCGCTTTGATTTTATTTTTTGCGTGTTTAGTGTCTTTTTAGCCTCTTACTCTGTGTATTTCGGTGCAGGATTATTTAAAACCGGTGTTTTATATTTGCCGACATACGTGACCAAAATGGCGTCTTATTTGACCTTCACTTCGTTTGTTTATTGTGAACATTATTTAATCTCTTATCAGCAAACATTATGTTCCAGCTGATTTTAAAACATCTGTTCATATAGGAAATGGGAATTTTCCATAATTTTCAGTAATATATTTTTATACTTTAAAGTACAATTGTAATGTTTTTGGAACATGGTTTCGTTCGTGCCAGCACGTTAGTGCTTACGGAAATAGGTACCCTAGGTATTACTTACCTTCCTATATGATAAAATATCGGAAAAAACCTAGTTTGATTATTGCTGATATTCTTAGGCTTAGTTACTGACGAATATCATCAAAAATTTTACTTTCGTAATTTTTCGTACTTTTCGTAAAAAAATCTATACTTAATGGTAAACACATTTTTTTGTAGGAAAATTATATTAACGTGATAATTGGAACGGAACTGGAATACCGAAGTACTTACTTTAAACTTACGGCATAGGGTCAATAATTTGCGCTATTTATTAAAAAAATATTCGGAAATATGAGCCAAGTTTGCAAAGGAAAACAAAGAAAAGCGGAAAAAATACATGAATAGGTAAGACTAGGCTAGGGTGTCTGCGGTATGACCTAGGTAGAGCCACGTAGAGCCATATAAGTCAATCTAACCAAAATTGGTTTCGTTAGGACTTCGATATTTCCTACTAACATTTACGTTTAAGTAATTCTTTGTTAAAAATTCTATTAATGCTACGTCAAAGGTATTGTTAGTATTTTTCCATTAAACAGCTGTTCTGCGGATAAAAGATGACGTCAACGCTTACTGCGCCATCTGTAGGGCGTCCAGACACTAAATTGCGCAGGTCAGGATGGGGCACCGCCCTTCGTTATGCGGCAATCGATATTCTAGACTTCTAGATTTTAGACTTGTGTAGTGATGTGTTATAGGGAGTTTATTGGATTTTAAACTTAAAGTACAACTAGATACGGTTATTTTCAGATATTATTAAAATTTTCGAGCGTTTCGTGTGTTTTAGAATTTAATAACGTGTCTAATAGGTACGTACGTACACATTCAATAGATATCCGAAATTAGGAAGAGATACAGAAACGAGCAAATACTTTTATTTTTAATGGTTACCTACGTTTTACATTAGATTTTCTTGCAAGAAAATTGATACTAATAATTTATTAGGCCAGGCATTTAAGAATATACCCAGGTACATTAAGAAGAGAAGTAAATTAAAAAAAAATTCTTAGTACGGAGCGAATTCTTTTTAGGGTTACAATTGAAAAGCAATCGGAATTATCACACGGATTTGCGTTTCCTATGTTGATAAAAGAAACAAGCGATAAAGTATTGGTTTTTCAAAAAAAATTAAACATTTTAAGTTAAAGTTAACATTTTTGGTATAGTTGCTATTCTGCTCCCTTTAAATATTAAAAATGTTTCTATAAAGTCCGTCCTAAACTACCTAGATAAGGAGATATATTTCATTGATTAATAATGACATGATCAGATTGACAATGTTATCGGAAACGCAATTACCAAAATATATTTTTTACATAAAAGTAGCAAATTAAGTACGTGTCATGTAGGCGTATTCAGAAATAGTGTTAGTGTTCGTATCTACAGATAGTTCAACAAATTGCAGTTATTTAGTAAAACATTGTAGGTATATAAAAGAAAAAAGATTTCTGATAATTTTTTGATCATAAATGTCAAAAAAATCTGTAAAAAAAAGTATGTAACAAGATATTCTTAAAAGTTGGTAGGAAACAAAGTTTTTTGTAATTTGAGATAATTCATAGAACTTCGTATTATAAAAATGTGGTAAATTATTCAATAAGAAATTATTCAGTAAAATTGCGTATTCATAGGACAGAATTAATAATTTGCGGTTCGGTTGTACAAGATTTTTTTTTCAAAAATCTTTATTTATGTTAGTCATTTATTACCTGGAATAATAATAATTCGATATATTTTCGTGTGGTCTCGAAAATTATGTTTACGATTTTTTTTTGCGTTCTTGTATGCGATTATTTAATTAATTTTAAGATATATTCGTCTTAATAATTATTACAATTTACGTGCGTTAGGTAGGATAATTTAATATTATTAATTGTTTTTAGTGGAATTTTCCGAAGATTTAATTAGGTAAATGGAACTTATTTATATGTATTGTAAATATTATTCGTTATTATTATTATCGTCGTAGGTGATTATAATATTTATTTATACATACCTATGTGTTTGTTATTAACCAGAACGAGGATGTGGTAACCTAATTAATTTTGCACTTAACGTGTTTTCCTCAATTACAATTTGAGGGCATTGCGTATTTTGTATGATTTTTCGATTCTCGGCTATGAGCATAGCATTCAGCATCTACCTACCCATTGCGCAATTATTAACTTTCAGTAGTGTTAACAACTTGATTACAAACATCATCGAACAAACACATTTAAGAAATTCATTCTCCAAATATGGCTGGTATCTTGCTACTGAATGATTAAAATATTTGACGTGCTTTTGTATTTTGTGTCATAAATTACGCGCTCATTTAAAGAGAAAATTACTAAGAGAATAGCTACATTGCCTCTTGTGTAATCAGCTGCGACAATTGTACAGATTTCAAGTTTAAATTATCACACTATCGGGACCATCGTTGTTAATAGAATCCATCGCTTGGTTAAATAACAATGTACCTTATCTCTATCATACTCTAACACAAAATTGTGCATACGCTTTTGGTACTTAGAACGTTTTCACTTGAATTGCATACGGGTTTGCGAGACTGCCAATAGATCGTCGCGTTGCTTGGGTTTGTTGCACTGTGCACACAGTTTGTACGTTGGCTAATTTGGCTCACAATTCTGAAATAGTACCTACCTACTTAGGCAGGCAGGTCCTTGCGTATACGTCACTAATTATTCACGTTTTGTAGCATTCGTTGAGACGGTTACCCCAGTGAATGTTAGGTTGCGCTGATCACGATTTTATGTTGTGTGTCGTAAGAACTAGTTTCTCGAGCACTTCATTTTATTCCTTGTCTTGCATTCGTTGTTAGCTTGAGGTTGACATTATCCTTTATTTTAACAATATCTGTGTTCTTAGCTTTACCTGAAGCTTTTGCATATTTATTTACTACGTTCGTATATCAACGTTTATTTAGATTTCGTCTGTTGTTGATAACTAAAATATTTGAGTGAAGTGGAAAGTTTAGTGGTGATTTTTATAAAGTATTGTTTAATTTGTGTTTTTACATTATTAACAACAAGTACGATTTTGAAGTTCGTGATATCAAAAATTGCAGAAAGCTTAAGAAAATAAGGTATTAAGACCAATAATAGACGAGTTATACCTGTTTTGCAAGTAGCCTGACCTCCACTTAAATATCACTGATAAAGTGGACTTAATGAGATTTAAAAAGTACCTATATCGATTCAATTTTATTGACCTTCGGTAGTAATACCTAATTTCGACAGCTTTTAATAAAACAAGTGTTTTGTGATTGTTGAAACCTATATTTAGTATTTCTTAACACGCTTTATTTAAAGGAATTACTAAATTAGGCGATTGTGATGATGAAAAAATTTTATTGGAAGTTTTTATCAGTATTTCACCTAGTGTGTGTCAAGTGATTGATTTGATATTATTTATTAAACCAAAATTTATCATGCTGTGTGCAGATGTATTAGTTAAAACAACACGCATTTTTACACAAACAACACAAGACGAAAATCAAGCTTCTGTTAACTAGAATACGTTTTAGAACGAAATGTTTGGTGTCATGTTAATGAGTTCTTACGTGATTGCTTCTAGTTTTGTGATTGGTTCTATGTGACATCTATTTATACCAGCTCCGACACCTGTAGGCACTCAATCTATCTATCCAAGTGTAGTTTTTGCTTGGCATCCCAAGTGTTTGTGAAACTTCCCATAGTGATCCTGTGGAGTGGACGTAATTATCAAGAAACATAGATATACCGTGCGGGTTATTTTTTCTCTATCTCCGTTATTTCCTTTTCTCGATGTGAAGTGCATGTGGGTGATGTGTAGTGATGTCTTGTCATTTTATTATGTACCTTAACAACGAGTAAATAAAGTCTACCACGGAGCTTGCTTTTCATCAACACTTTCAAATAATTCGGTTCGGTTTAGGCTTCTTTTTGATTGCATGGGCTAGTAAAATATTTGCTAGAAGTATTTTCTATTCGTACGTGCCTAAATTTTGCATGTGTCGTGAATATAACAATGGTTGGGAATAAGTTGTGTATAATGTTATATTACTTTTACACTTAAACCTTTACAAATCACGGAATCTTATCCGCAACCGTTAAAGCAATAATAAATTTATTTTCAATAGAAAGTCAACGATAAAGCAGGCTAGGAACCTATAAATAAATTCTTAAGAATACAACGATACAAATTTTGAACGACAATAATAAAACGAAGGATAACAATAGTCCTGATATACGAACAATAGTTGAATATAGCATATAATATATAATACGCAGTAATTAGTGATGTGGTGTGGGTGTGTGTGTTATAGGAAACGATATAATGCGAAAGGTGTGTTTGATAATACATCTTTATAAAGACAAATATAAAAATAACACAACAATATGTTGTAGTACAGTTTGAGATCGACCTTTCTCAAGGTGTAAGGTATGACTAGAATTCCTAATATTTAAGTATTTTAATTTTATAAAAGGAACAAGGTATGACGTGCCTAAATTTTGCATGTGTCGTGAATATAACAATAGTTATGGGAATAAGTTGTGTATAATGTTATATTACTTTTACACTTAAACCTTTACAAATCACGGAATCTTATCTGCAACCCTTATAAGCAACAATAAATTTATTTTCAATAGAAAGTCAACGATAAAGCAGACAAATATTTAAACCTATAAATAAATTCTTAAGAAGATAACAATACAAATTTTGAACGACAATAATAAAACGAAGAATAACAATAGTCCTGATATACGAACAATAGTTGAATATAGCAAAACAGATGTAAATCTAAACAAAGAAAAGTTTAATCAACACGGTATTGTTTTTGAAGAACAATAATGTAAAGTTAACGAAGCGTTTCATGGTTGAAGCGATTGAGAAATTGCAATTCGATATAATAGAACTTTCAAGAATAGTTTGATTCGATAAGAAAATTGAAACTGAAGATATTAACAGCATTTTAGGAAATAATAACTAAATCTAAATGAATCATTAATGATTTGGTCAATCATGTGTCAGATTAATGCGCATAAATAGAGGATGTTCATAATTGAATTAACTACAAATAGAAAACTTGTATTGTAGACTTATTTATAGCTCTACCTAAATACAAAGTATAAGCCATAACAAAGTTCTTAATAAAGTTGATGAATGTAACTTTGAAGATATTTTTATAACTACTAATGAGTCCATTACGTAAAATAATCAATTTAATGGGTCCACCAATATTTCAGTAATAGCAAAGCGAATATAAACATGCAAATTGAAAATTTAAAACGAATATTGCAGATGATCTTGATAGAAAAATATCTAATTGAGTTACGAGATCTTTTTTGCCTTAATTGATTTGCAAAGTTTTGTTGGTTAGACCATTGAGTGAGAATAAACCAAGCACATAGAATATGTGCTTAGAAAACATATTATGGTATTTGAACTTAATAATCTCTATCATAAAGTCAATAGTTGAAAGATTGCGTAGTCAGAGATTAATTTTAACCTAACTGACATTTTGATATTCCGGGTCTTACTAACTGATAACTAAATCTGAGCAAACCATAACCAAACCCTTTAAAACTTGAAGGCAATAAATGATATTACAGATGAAATCAAATCTTTACCAAGAAACCAATTGATTGGTAGAGAAAACAGTTAAACTGCTCTCAAAAATGTAGAAATAACAATTGGGATTGATTTTGACATTCTACAAGCCAAGGAAGACATTATTTTATGAATTACACTTTAAACTGCAAAGATTTTAATACTTCATATAATCAGAATAACGTTCGAAATCGAATGACGATTACGTTTGATGAAATATCGATCTATAACAATGAATATAATATGCAAGTTCGAAGAACTAGTGGTTAGATTCAAAAAGTCCAATCTCCAAAAATCTGAAATAGCCACTTAGATATGAACCTTGAAAACGAATTAAGAGTCAAGATTTACAAATTTGATTACTATTAACTTCTTGAGAACGGTTCTTTAATTTTCCATGCGCGTGATCGTAATTACTAACGGAGGAATACAACGTTTCGCTTGGATCGGAAATTAATTGCAATGTATTTTTAATTATTCAATCCTACACACATGAAACCATGCAGATAACAAGCGGATGTTAACAATATCCACTTCTTAATAGAAAAAAATATAGGCTATTATGGATTCGAAGATACTGCGAAGTACAAGAATCCTAGTGGTTTTTTGATCCCAGAAGTATTTAATTGCCTATAGAAAACTTAAGAATGAGATCTATGATGTGATGTTAACGTTATACTTGTTTAACCAAGAAAGAAGGAAGATATCATATAGGATTATGTTGTAGTACGAATAGGAACCTAATAAAAACAAATCTACCAAAGCAATTCGAATGTCACTAGACGAAAGACGGGCTAGTATTAGCAAGAAGGTGAATTAGCGAAAATGTAGAATAGGGAACTAACGAAGGATACCTATACCAAAATGATGAAAGACACAATTATAACGTAGCAATATTAACTACGGAGAAAATAAATACCCGTAATAGTTGGTAGACTGTAAAGAATGGTAGAATTTGAGATTGATGTTTCATCAAAAGATCAGATCAGAGGTGACTAGAAACCATAACTAGATATTGATTTTTAAAGTTTTTAAATTATTTGTAAGGAAATTATGCGATATACCAACAAATAGGACGTTGAGATATTTAGTGAGGAGCGTATGTTTAACGGATCGGTGTGATGCATGAAGTGCGTTTGATTACATTTTTACACAAAAGAAAGTTAAAAAATCACAACAATACGTTGTAGTACGAATAACCCGAGGGTTAGAAAAAACGATGGCTAATTTGCATTTTGATTTCTTAGAAAACAATAGCGAATCGGAATCTTTATTGGATGATTGAATGGCTCTAGGAGTAGGTAGATGCCAACGCAAATGAAGAAACATAGACACCATAACAGTTAGATATTGATTTTCAAACTAGGTATTATTACTTCAAATGATTGTTTAAGAAAAATGTGGGAACACAACGTTAAGAGTTATAGTAGGATTACTGGTTATGTAGTGTGGTGTAAGTTTGAGATCGCAACTTCGCAAATAAAGGAACAATGACTTCCAACGTTAATAGTAATAATACGCAGTAATTGATGATGTGGTGTGGGTGT